CAGCTTCTAGAAAAAAAAATTAAAAAGCAGGAGGAGAGCCTAAGAGAACTTAGGGACAACACAAAAGGAAACAACACCCACATAATAGGGGTGCCATAAGGAGAGGAAACTGAGCAATGAATAGAAAACCTGTTTGAAGAAATAATGACAGAAAACTTCCCTGATATAGGGAAGAAAAAACTCACACAAATCCAAGAAGCTCACAGAGTCCCAAACAAAATGAACCCCAAAAGACCGACGTCAAGGCACATTATAATTAAATTGGCAAACACCAACGACAAAGTAAGTGTCTTAAAAGCGGCCAGAGAGAGACAGAAAGTTACCTACAAAGGATCCCCCATCAGACTAGTGACTGATTTCTCAACAGAAACACATCAGGCCAGAAGGGAAGGGAATGAAATATACAAAGTCATACAAAGCAAGGGTCTGAATCCAAGAATACTGTACCCAACAAGGCTATCAATAAAAAATGAGGGTGAAATCAGGAGCTTCACAGACAAAAAAGGACTAAGGGAGTTTATTACCACCAAACCAGCAATGCAAGAAATGCTAAAGGGTCTGCTGTAAAAAGAAAAAAGAGGAAACGAAGAAGGAACACAGGGGTAAAGAATAAAAATGGTGACAAACAAATACCTTTCAATAATAACTTTAAATGTAAATGGATTAAATTCCCCAATCAAATGACATAGGGTAACTGAGTGGATAAGAAAATATGACCCATATATCTGCTGTCTACAGGAAACCCACCTCAGAAAAAAAAAAAAAAACGCATACAGACTGATGGTTAAGGGATGGAAAACGGTTTTTCAGACAAATGGAAATGAAAAAAAAAGCTGGGGTAGCAATACTTATATCTGAAAAATTAGATCTCAAAGTGAAGGACATAAAAAGAGATAAGGAAGGCCACTTCTTAATACTAAATGGAGCAATCCAACAAGAAGAAATAACTCCGGTAAACATATATGCACCCAATACAGGAGCACCCAAATACAAAAAAAAAAAAACTTCTGGAGGATATCAAGGGAGAGACTGACAGCAATAAAATAATAGTAGGAGACTTTAATACCCCACTATCACCATTGGACAAATCCTCTAAACAAAAAATCAGCAAAGAAACATCAATCCTAAATGACTCACTAGATCCGATGGAATTAATTGATATTTTCAGAACACTTTACCCCAAAGCCACAGAATATACATTCTTCTCAAGTGCACATAGGTCATTCTCAAAGATAGACCATATATTGGGTCACAGGCAAAGTCTCTTCAAATTCAAGAAGATAGAAATCATATCAAGCACCTTTTCAGGTCACAATGGCATACAACTGGAAATCAACTACAATAAAAACAATCCAAAAAAAATCAAATACACGGAGACTAAATAGCATGCTATTGAACAAAGACTAGGTTACCAGAGAGATCAAAGAAGAAGTAAAAACCATCATGGCAACAAACGACAGTGAAAACAGAACAATCCAAAACCTAAGGGACACAGCGAAAGCAGTCTTGAGAGGGAAGTTCACAGCACTACAAGCCTACTGCAAAAAACAAGACACAATGGTAATAAATTACCTAACCCTACAACTCAAAGAGTTAGAAAGAGAGCAACAAGAAAAGCCCAGTGTAAGCAGAAGCAAGGAAATAATAAAGATCAGAGCTGAGATAAACAACATAGAGACAAAAAAAAAACCAATACAAAATATCAACAAAACAAAGAGCTGGTTCTTTGAAAGGATAAACAAGATTGACGAACCTCTAGCCAAGCTGACCAAGAAGAAAAGAGAGAGGACCCAAATGAACAAAATCAGAAATGAAAAAGGAGAAATAACAACAGACCCCACAGAAATACAAAGGATTGTTAGAAAATACTATAAACAACTCTATTTCAACAAACCTGGAGGAAATGGACATATTCCTAGAAAAATACAACCTTCCAAAATTCAATCAGGAAGAATCTAAAAGTCTCAATAAGCCAATAACTATGGAAGAAAATGAAGCAGTAATAAAAAAGCTTCCAGCAAACAAGAGCCCGGGGCCAGATGGCTTCACAAGGGAGTTTTACCAAACATTCAAGGAAGAACTAAAATCTATCCTCCTCAGACTATTCCAAAAAAAATTCAAGAGGAAGAAACACTTCCAAGCTCATTCTATGAAGCCAGCATCTCCCTAATACCAAAACCAGATAAAGACAACACAATGAAAGAGAATTACAGGCCAATATCCACCATGAACATAGATGCCAAAATCCTCAACAAAATCCTAGCAAATTGGGTCCAGAAGTACATCAGAAAGATCATACACCATGACCAAGTAGGATTTATCCCAGGGATGCAAGGATGGTACAATATCTGCAAATCAATAAACGTGATACATCACATAAACAAATTGAGAGATAAAAACCACATAGTCATATCAATTGATGCAGAAAAAGCATTTGACAAAATCCAACACCCATTTTTGATAAAAACTCTCAGCAAGGTGGGAATAGAAGGATCATACTTCAACATAATAAAAGGTATCTATGACAAACCCACAGCCAACATCATACTCAATGGGCAAAAACTGAAACCATTTCCCCTAAGAACAGGAACAAGATAGGGATGCCCACTCTCACCACTCCTGTTCGACATAGTATTGGAAGTATTAGCCATTGCGATTCGACAAGAAGAATAAGTAATAAAAGGCATCCAAATTGGAAAAGAAGCAGTAAAACTGTCCTTATTTGCAGATTACATGATATTGTACATAAAAAACCCTAAAGACTCCATCAAAAAACGATAAGACTTGATAATGAATTTGGCAATGTAGCAGAATACAAAATTAATGCCAAGAAATCTATGGCATTTCTATACACCAATAGTGAACTTTCAGAAAGAGAGACTAAAAAAGCAATCCCATTTATCATCATACCAAAAAAATTAAGATACCTAGGAATAAACTTAACTAAAGAGGTAAAAGACCTCTACTCAGAAAACTACAGGACTTTGAAAAAAAGAGATAGAGGAAGACATAAACAGAAGGAAAAACATACCATGTTCATGGATTTATAAGAATCAACATCATTAAAATGTCCATGCTACCCAAAGTAATCTATAAATTCAACACACTCCCCATTAAAATACCAACAGCATATTTCACAGACCTAGAACGAACTCTCCCAAAATTCATCTGGAATAAAAAAAGACCCCAAATAGCTGCAGTGATCCTGAGAAAGAAGAACAAAGTAGGTGGGATCTCTATACCAGATATGAAGCTGTATTACAAAGCCACTGTTCTCAAAACTTCCTGGAACTGGCACAAGAACAGACATATAGATCAATGGAATAGAATAGAGAACCCAGAAATTGACCCGAAACAATATGCTCAATTAATATTTGACAAAGGAGGCAAGAACATACAATGGAGTCAAGACAGTCTCTTCAATAAATGGTGTTGGGAAAATTGGACAGATACATGCAAAAAAATGAAACTAGACCACCAATTTACACCATACACAAAAATAAACTCAAAAAGGATAAAGGACTTAAATGTAAGATGGGAACACATAAAAATACTAGAGGAATCCAAAGGCAACAAAATCTCAGACATATGCCGAACCAATTTCTTCACCGATACAGCTCCCAGGGCATTGGAAACTAAAGAGAAAATAAACAAATGAGACTACATCAAAATAAAAAGCTTCTCACAGCAAAAGAAACCCTCAACAAAACAACAAGAAAGCCAATGTTATCACCGATAAGGGTTTAATCTCCAACATTTATAAGAAACTCATACAACTTAAAAAAGGGGAAGATATACAATCCAATCAAAAAATGGGCAAAGGACCTAAATAGACACTTTTCAAAAGAGGACATTCAGAAAGCCAAGAGACATATGAAAACATGCTCAAAGTCACTAATCATCTGAGAGATGCAAATCAAAACAACAATGCAGTACCATCTCATACCTGTCAGAATGGCTATCATCAACAAATCAACAAACGACAAGTACTGGAGAGGATGCGGAGAAAAGGGAACACTCGTGCACTGCTGGTGGGAATGCAGACTGGTGAAGCCACTATGGAAGACAGTATGAAGTTTCCTCAAAAAATTAAAAATGGAACTCCCATTTGACCCAGTGATCCCATTGCTAGGAATATATCCCACGAAACCAGAAACACCAATCAGAAAGGATATATGCACCCCTATGTTCATAGCAGCACAATTTACAATAGCTAAGTTTGGAAACAGCCTAAGTGCCCATCAGTAGATGAATAGATTAGAAAACTGTGGTACATTTACACAATGGAATACTATGCTGCTGTAAAACAGAAGAAATTCTTACCATTTGCAACACCATGGATGGAACTGGAGAGTATAATGCTAAGTGAAATAAGCTAGTCAATGAAAGAAAAATACCACATGACCTCACTCATTTATGGATAATAAAGACCATTATAAACTGATGAACAAAAATAGATACAGAGGCAGAACAGCATCGAACAGACTGTCAAACTACAACGGGAAGACCTGGGAGGGTTGGGACGTGGCGGGGGTAAGAGATCAACCAAAGGACTTGTATGCATGCATATAAACATAACCAATGGGCACAATACACTGGGGGTTAGGGGTGACCGGGGGAAGGTCAAGTGGGGAAAAAAAGCAGACATATGTACTACTCTTTGTAATATTTTAAGCAATAAAACAAACAACAAACAAAAAAAGAAATTCAATCTTTTCCCAGCTAGTATGGCTCAGTGGTTGAGTGTCAACCTATGGACCAAGAGTTCATAATTTGATTCCTAGTCAAGGCATATGTCTAGGTTGTGAACACAATCCCCAGTAGAAAGCATGCAATAGGCAGCCAATCAATGATTCTCTCTCATCATTGATGTTTCGATCTCTCTCTCCTTCAGTAAAAATATATTTTAAAAAAAGAAATTCAATTTTTTTATTGAGCTACTTTTATACCTAACCGTAAAGTATTTTAAATGACAACAATAAAAATAACTTAAAACTTACCCTGAATCACAGAAACAGTTCCATAGTCCTTGGCCATGACTCCAGAGTAAGCGATTAAAAACCCGGTTAAAAATCCGATATAAATGTAGTTCATCGACATCAGTCACCTTCCAGATGCGTGGAAGAATTGTGCGAATATTTGTTTTTACAATGTCCAAAACCTATTGGGGGAAAAAAACACAAAATATTGCAAAATCTTGTGTATTTGTGTGTGTCTCAAAGTCAAAGATAAAAATTTATTTATTTATTTTAATTTTATTTAGAAAATAAACGTAATATGGAAAAATGCTTTCAACATATGGAAGCTTGTGAAATATTTAATTTAATGATTACACACACAATCACTCATAACTGAACAAAAGCACAGGTTAAAAAGTCCACAATTTTTTTTAAAAAGACCAAAATAAATAAATAAATAAAACGTCCACAAATACATCAATGCATTCATGAAATTTCAGTATATGACACAGATGGCAAGCCAGACCACTGTAGTTAAGAAGATTAAATTTAATCCAACAAGAGGACATAACCCTTGTAAACATTTATACACCCAACATAGAAACACATAACTATGTAAAACAAATCTTGATGGACATAAAGGGAGAGATTGAAAGTAATACAGTCACAGTAAGCAATTACAACATGCCATTGACATCAATGAATAGATCTTCCAGACAGAAAATCAACAAGGAATTAGTGGCCTTAAATGACACACTTGATCAGATAGATTTAATTGATATCTTCAGAGCCTTTCACCCAAAAGCAGCAGATATACATTCTTTTCAAATGCACATGGAACATTTTCTAGGATAGACTACATATTAGGACACAAAAACAGGTCTCAATAAATTTAAGAAGATTGAAATCATATCAAGCATCGTCTCTAACCATAATGGTATGAAACTAGAAATCAATCACAAGAAAAAAATCTGAAGAAACACAATACATGGAGGCTAAACAACATGTTAGTAAACAATGAATAGGTTAACAATAATATCAAGGGGAAAATCAAAAGATACCATGAAACAAATACAAATGAGAACACAACAACCCAAAATCTATGTGATACAGTGAAAGTGGTCCTAAGAGGGAAATTCATAGCATTATAGGCCTATCTCAATAAACAAGAAAAATCTTAAATAAATTATCTAACTTTTCACTGAGAGGAACTTGAAAATAACAACAAAGCTCAAAGTGAGAAGAAGGAAGGAAATAATAAAGATCAGAGCAGAAATAAACAAAATAAAGTCTAAAAAACAATACAAAAGATTAGTGAAATCAAGATCTGGTTCTTTGAAAAGATAAACAAGATTCGCAAACCTTTAACCAGACTCATCAAGAAAAAAAGAGAGAGGACCCAAATAAATAAAATCAGAAATAAAAGGGGAGAAGTAACAACGGACACCAAAGAAATGCAAAGGTTTGTAAGAAAATATTATCACAATTATATGACAACAAATTGGACAGTCTGGACCAAATAAATAAATTCCTAGAAACCTACAATCTTCCAAAACTGACTCAGGAGGAATCAGAGAATCTGGACAGAGGACAGACAGATTACAACAGTGAAATCAAAGCAGTAATTAAAAAGCTCCCAACAAACAAAAGTCCTTGACTGGATGGCTTCACTAGTTAATTTTACCAAACATTCAAAGAAGAACTAACACCTATTCTTTTCAAACTATTTCAAAGAAATCCAAGGGGAGGGAAGACTCCCAAGCTCCTTTTATGAGGCCAGCATTGGCCTAATTCCAAAACCAGACAAAGACACTACAAAGAAAGAAAATTATAGGCTAATATCCCTGATAAAGATAGATGCTAAAATCCTCAACAAAATATTAGCAAAGTAGATCCAGCAATATATCAAAAAGAACATACATCATAATCAAGTGGGATTTATTCCAGGGATGCAAGGTTGGTACAATATTCACAAGTCAATAAACGTGATACACCACATAAACAAATTGAAAGATAAAAACCACATGATCATATCAATAGATGAAGGGAAAGCATATGATAAAATTCAGCACACTTTTATGATAAAAACTCTCAGCAAAGTGGGAATAGAGGGAACATACCTCAATGTAATCAAGGCGGTACATGACACCTCACAGTCAACATCACACTCACTGGGCAAAAACTAAAAGTGTTTTCCATAAGATCAGGAACAAGACAGGGATGCTCACTTTTACCACTTTTATTCAATTTAGTACTAGTAGACCTAGCCATAGCAATCAGACAAGAAGAAGAAATAAAAGGCATCCAAGTTGGAAAAGAAGTAAAACTGTCATTATTTGCAGATGACATAATACAGAATATAGAGAACACTAAAGATTTCACCAAAAAAATTACTAGAACTGATCAATGAACACAGTAAAGCAGGAGGATAAAAATTAAATATCCAGAAATCTGTTGCATTTTAATACACCAACAATGAACTATCAGAAAGGAAAACTAAGAAAAGAATCCCATTCACAATTGCTTCAGAAAATACTAAGAATAAATTTAACCAAGGGTATAAAGGATCTGTACTCAGAAAATCACAAGACATTGAAGAAGATACAAATAAGTGGAAGCATATATTATGTTCATGGGTAGGAAGAGTTAACACCATTAAAAAGTCCGTACTACCCAAAGCAATCTAGAACAAATATTCTAAAAATTTATATAAAACCACAACATACTCTGAATAGCCACAGCAACCTTGAGAAAGAACAAAGTTGCAGGAATCATGCTACCTAATACCAAATTATACTACAAGGCCATAGTAATCAAAACAGCATGCTACTGGCAAAACAGACATACAGAGTAATGGAACAGAACAGAGAGCCCAGAAATCAACTCATGTCTTTATGGTCAATTAATATTTGACAAAGGAGCCAAAAACATATAATGGGGTAAACAAACTCTATTCAATAAATAGGTTCGAAAAATTGACAGATAAGTGCAAAAAAAAAAAAATAGAAACAGACCACCTTCTTACACCATACCTAAGAATAAACTCAAAATGGATTAAAGACTTAAATGTTAAGACTCCAAACCATAAATATCCCAGAAGAAAACAGAGGCAGTACATCCCTCGTAGCAATATTTTTTTCTGATCTATCACCTCAGGCAAGGGAAGCAAACTAAAAAATAAACAAATGGGACTACATTAAAATAAAAAAGATTTTGCACAGACAAATCCTTTGAAAAGACAACCCACTGAAAGGGAGAACATATTCGCCAGAGATACAGCTGATAAGGAGTTAATATTCAAAATTTATAAAGAACTTATACAACTCAACACCAAAAAAACAAACAATCCAATTTAAAAAATGGGCAAAGGACCTGAAGAGACACTTCTCCAAAGAGGACATACAAATGGCCAGTAGGCACATGAAAAGATGCTCAACATCACTAATCATCAGAAAAATGAAAATTAAAACCACAAGGAAATATCACCTCACACCTGTCAGAATGGCTATCACCAACAAGTGTTGGCGAGGATGTGGAGCAAAGAGAACCCTTGTGCACTGCTGGTGGGAATGCAGACTGGTGCAGCCACTGTTGAAAGCAATATGGAGTTTCCTCGAAAAATTAAAAATGGCCCTGCCTTTATCCCCGGTCCCAACCGGAAACAGCTGGTAGAGTCTGAGGCGGCACCAGAGCACACTTGCCTCTCACCATGAGTCTCGACCTCCACTACCAGCAGCTGAGCAATGCCCGGTGGACAGAACTCCTGCCTCTCACGCAGCAGTACCAGGTGGTCAGGCTGGTCGACTGTGGCATCACGGAGGGGCGCTGCAAGGACATGAGCTCTGCGCTCCAAGACAACCCCGCCCTGACCGAGCTCAGCCTCTCCTCCAACGAGCTGGGCGATGCCGGCACACACCTGGTGCTCCAGGGCCTGCAGCCCACCTGCAAGATCCAGAAGCTCAGCCTCCAGAACTGCAACCTGTGGGCGGCGGGCTGCGCTCCCTTCCCTCCCTCCAGGAGCTGGACCTCAGCTACAACCAGCTGAGGGACGCGGGCCTGCAACTGCTCTGCAAGGGGCTCCTGGACCCCCAGTGCCACATCGAGAGGCTGCAGCTGGAGTACAGCAACCTGATGGCCTCCAGCTGCGAGGCCCTGGCCTCGGTGCTCAGGGCCAAGCGGGAGTTGAAGGAGCTGGGGGTGAGCAACAATGACATCGGCGAGGCTGGCGCCCGGATGCTGTGCCAGGGCCTGGCCAACTCCACCTGCCCATTGGAGTCACTCAGGCTGGAGGGCTGTGGCCTCACCGCGGCCAACTGTCAGGACCTGTGTGGCATCGTGGCCACCAAGGCCTCGCTGAGAGAGCTGCAGCTGGGGGACCCAGGCATCATGGAGCTGTGCCCTGGGCTGCTGAGCCCTAGCTCCAGGCTCAAGACCCTGTGGCTCTGGGAGTGTGACTTCACGGCCAGTGTCTGCAAGGATCTCTGCCGGGTGCTCAGAGCCAAGGAGAGCCTGAAGGAGCTCAGTGTGGCTGGCAATGAGGTGGGGGACGAGGGCAGACGGCTGCTGTGTGAGAGCCTGCAGGAGCCCAGCTGCCAGCTGGAGTCCTTGTAGATGAAATCCTGCAGCCTCACGGCCACCTGCTGCCCGCACGTCAGTGCGACGCTGGCCCGGAACCAGAGCCTCCAGGAGCTGCAGATGAGCAACAACAAGCTGGGGGACTCGGGCATGGAGGTGCTGTGCCAGGGCCTGGGCCAGCCGGGCATGACCCTGCGGATGCTCTCGCTGGGGGACTGCGAGGTGACCGACCAGGGCTGCACTAGCCTGGCCGCCCTCCTGCTGGCGAACCACAGCCTGCTCGAGCTGGACCTCAGCAACAACTGCATGAGCGAGGTGGGCGCCATGAAGCTGGCGGAGAGCGCCCAGCAGCCCAGCAGCCCAGCTGCCCCCTGGAGAAGCTGGTTCTGTATGACATCTACTGGAGGGAGGAGACAGAGGACCTCCTGTGGGCCGTGGAGGAGAAGAAGCCAAGCCTGAAGATCATCTGCTGAGCCCTGGGCCCCTGCCCAGGCGCCCGAGGGGCTGGCTAGCTCTCGGGGCTCACTCCGGGTGCCTTAGCTTTAACTGAAGGGAAATGCTTAAACCAGCTTCTGTAAACATTCTGGACACTTTATAATTATTAAAATGTTTTGGGTTAAAAAAAAATTAAAAATGGACCTGCCTTATGACCCAGTAGTTCCACTTCTAGGAATTTATCCAAAGAAATCCAAAACACTGATTCAAAAGTATATCCACCCCTATGTTCATTGCAGTGCTATTTACAATAGCCAAGATTTGGAAGCAGCTCTAGTGCCCATCAGTCGATGAGTGGATAAAAAAAGCTGTGGTACATTTACACAATGGAATACTACCCTAGAAGAGAATCAAATGGTCTCTTCTAAGATTCAAATTCACCTCCAGTTAAGTAATACTTGGGAAGATGGGTGTGATCGCTGTATATAAACAAGGCTGCCTAGGCACTCCCTCCATCGGGGCCTTGGTGTAAGGACTAGTTTGTTTAAAAGACCATACAGATGGGAAGACAATGACTGCCCCGTTAGTAAAACACCCACTAAATAAGTTTAGAAAGGCCGGCTGGGTGAGGTAAATCAGTGTAGGTTCTTTTTGTAATGCTCTTTTAGACCTCTGGGTGCTTTGGGGTTAAAAGAAAGTGGATGGAAAATAAAAAAAAAAAAAACAAATGATCAGCAAGGTGCCCTTTGTGTTTACCTGTGGATTCAAGTGAGGCAAACATACAGAACATGGGCATCTGTTTCGGACATTGTGACTTTTAAAAACATCCCAGTCCGACATTAAGTTCTCCAAGGGAAAACGTAAATGGAAGATTCAGTCAATGGAAGAATTAATAAAATGAAAAGATGTGTCTTTTTCCATATGAAATACAGCACATTTGAAGGCATAAAGCACAGAGACCAATTCATATTTTTATAAGAACATACAGATATTGAATGATAAATTGCTCCATATGGCTGAACAGTTGGTGCTAAATTAAAATAATGGCATGAGGTGAGGAGGATTAGAAGTAACATTAACATTACTACATGCTGTATAAAGAATGCATTCAACAGCCATGGCTATAGGGTAAAGGCATCTTTGCTGATACAAAACCAACAGGTCTGTATAGCATCTACGTTAGCCCAAATAAAAAAGAGATGGAAAATAATAACATCAAAATGCATGCAGAAGCAACTACAGTAGGTATTGAAGAAAAATGATTATTTAGAGAAAAAAAGTACTTGATAAACAAAGATCTCTTAGAACCCTAAAATAAATGCAAATATAGTACCATGTTAACATCAGTACTTATCTCTCTTCATCCTCCAATCTTAGTTTATGCCTAAAGACGAAACTTTTCAGCAAATTTGGCATTTTTCACAAAACACAACACTGCAATATTTTCATACTTCATATATTCCTTACAAACTATATAAAGCAACTGCATTATTGGCAGAAAGCTAAATTATGCAAGTGTGAAATTACCACAACATGGCATTTAGTAAGACTAGCTATTTCCATTTTCACCTGGTAAGGATTCTTTTCAGTATTTAATCCCTACATCCTTGACCTTTACATTGTACACCCATTAAGGAAACTTTGAAATAAGGCATGTGGAAGAGCTCATGTGCATGGCATTCTTATCTAAGAGTTTTACAACATTCTAATGAGCAACCAGCAAATGCTCAGATCCTGGAACAGAAACAGTGAGACACATATTTCAACAACGGTCTCTAAATGGAATTAAGAGATTTTTACGAATCTTGTGCATTCCACACCTAGCATGGTGCTCAGGATGTGGTAGTCCTTCAATTACTCTTGTCCAATGCATGGTTGAATACGCAAATAAATAAATGAAGAAACAACTCTGCAAATCCCCAGTACCATCGTTCATGCACAAAATTGGCAACCAATAAATGTTTGTCGACTTAAATCACACCCCACCCAGCCTTTGTGGCAGCCATGGAGACATGCCATTTGAATTAACTTGTTTCCAAGAGTGAAGTTAGCTGACGGCGTCGCCATTCAGGATCACTGCAACACTCAAGCCACGCTTATGCTCTCCCCAGACTGCTCCTGGCCGAGGATCCAACAGGGTGGGTTACCAGAGAGGGACTACTTCTGCCCAGTTTGATTTCCAGAAAAGCAATCTTTGTTCTGGGCTCCCCATCAGCTGGCCAGGGCTTTCTCAGAACTTCACTAAAGTCTAAGGGTCTTCATACTCCACCCTTCTGCCTTTCACTCTCAGGTGTCAGACCTACATTGCAGGCTAACGGCTCTTTCTGCCTACTCAAAGTCTCTCACTCAGCAATTATTTTGTAGGATAGAGTTCGGCAAGTGGTTTTGCTGAGTCATTAGGTTACGGACACCTATCATTTTAATAGGTCGTGCAAATTATCTTTCTAAAGGGTTGTACCAATGTATTCTCCCTCTAATTGTGTGATAAAGGCCCTTTTATCCACATTATTTCCTTGACTGGATATCATCTGTCTTATTAATTTTTGCCAATATGATGGTTTTTACTTGCTTTTCCTTCATCATTAGTGAGGCCAAGAAACTATGTATACATGAATTGGCTATTTGAAGGCTATGTCTTTTCATAGCCTTTTTATACACTTGCCATTTTATTTATTAATATTTATAGAATAGTTTATTTTGCTGATTGATTCATAGGAGGTATTGGTTTACTGGTGCTTGTGTTTTATGTGCTGCAAATACCCCCATCTCCCTCACTGCTTCTGCCTTTCAGCTTGGTTTAAGGAGTTTTTTGCCATTGGTAAGTTTTTATGTAATCAAATAGGTCAAACTTTTTTAATATTTTGAGTTTTAGGTCTTTCTTAAGACATTGTTTCCCATTCTAAGATTATAAATATACTAAAGACCCGGTGCACGAATACATGCACAGGTGGGGTCCCCAGGGGCCAGGGGGCCAGACAAGAATGGCCCTCTGGGCAGGTGGTGGGACGCCCTCGCCTGCCCAGGATCTAGATCCAGCCCACTGACATTTGCACCAGTTGTCGGGACCCACCTGGCAGCCACTTTAATATCCTTTCTCCCTTGCAGAGTGTTTAGGGAGAGCAAGTAGCCACAGTGCCTGAGGCTGACTTCCAGGAGGCCAGTGGCGCTGTCGGGATACTGCCAGCAGCACTGGTCCATCGGTGCCAGATTGGACCTGAGGGAGTGAGTGGCTGTAGCTGGCTGGTAGGCCACCAGGACGGGTCTGTCAACTGAGCAGCGCTCCCACTGTGGGAGCACACTGACCACCAGGGGACAGCTCCTGCATTGAGCATCTGTCTCTGGTGGTCAGTGCATGTCATAGCGACCAGTCGTTCCGGTTGTTCCAGTCATTCGGTCGTAATGGTCACTTAGGCTTTTATATAGAGAGATCCTTTTATGTTTTCTTTTAAACTTTTAATACTTTCTTTTTTACACGTAAAATTATAACCTGAAATTTATTTTTGTATATGGTAAGAGATAAGGCTACAACTTAATTTTCTTATAAATAGGTACTCAATTGTTTCCGTATCATTTAGGGGAACAATTATCTTTTCTCCACTGATTTGAAATGTCACATTGATCATGTGTTAATATCTTATAAATTCTTTAATCTGTTTCTAGATTGTTTTGTTTTAATCAGCAACTTACCTACACTATTCTAACTTCTAGATTACAAAAAGTACATGGACTTGAGAAAACTCAGAACACTTATTCTAATAAAAGGTCTTTATTTTAATCAAGCAAGGCCATATAGTCAGTGATTTGGCAAAAATCTATTCAGGGTTTGTAATGCGTTTTGCAATCTACCTCTGTTACCAGCTTTGTCACACCCTCCTCAACAGTAGCACAATATTTGGCACATGCCAGAACATCAAGCAAGTATTTGTTGAATGTGTTAATATAATGAGTTCAGTTTACTCGGATGAGAGTACGTAAGTTAGGTAATCATTTAATTAGTGTCAACTTTCAGCTTATTGCAATAAATCTTAGAAAGGGGAAATAATAGCTTGCATTACTAAAGGAATACAACATCATCACTAAAGCTAATAAAATTGTATCTCTCCCCCAAAATAATGTTGCAATGCATTTGATGGGCCCCTCAGACTGCTGGCCACACCCGTCTCCTACTCTCCAAGATAACTGTTACATACCTTCCACTGCCTGCTCAAATCTCTAAAGCCCTCACATCTTCTCACAACATGCCATGGCCTCTGCCTTCCCTCCTATTAGATAATTAGAATTAATGCTCCTGTTAGGACAAACCTCCCCCAATTACTTACTTAAGGACTTTCTGTCACCTCTCTTTCCTCTCTTCTAGATCATTCTCATCAGCACACAAACTGTAAATCTCTTCATCTTATTATTATTAGTCCTCACCCAAGTACATGCTTATTGATTTCTTTTTTAGATATAGGGGAAGAGAGAGAGAGAGAGAGAGAGAGAGAGAGAGAGAGAGAGAGAGAGGATGAAAGAGAGAGAGAGATGCGAGAGAGAGAGAGAGAGAGAGAGAGAGAGAGAGAAACATCAATCCAGTTGCCTCCTGCCTAAGCCCCAGGGATGAAACCCACAACCTAGGTATGTGCCCTGATGAGAAACAAACCTGTGACCCTGTGGTGCAAAGAATAACACTCAACCAACTGAGCTACACCGGCCAGGGCTAAATCTCTTCAATTTTAAAGGAAAGTTGTCATTAACCCCCATCTCTTTTCCCTTCAACAGCAAAATTGCTTGCAAAGAATGCCAGTACTAGCTGTTTCCTTCTTCTCTATCTTTTTTACTCTTGAACCTGTTCTACTCAAGTTTGTAAGCTCTTTGAGACCATAGGTTTTTTTAATTCACTTTTTTATCCTCAGAATCTAGGACATTGCCTATAACATAGGAGGTATGCAATTCATATTTGTTGAAGAAATGAGTAAACAAATAAATATGTATATAGTTTGACTATGAATGTGGCCTAATCATTCTAGTTTAAGACGATCTAAAAGGGCAAACTTGTTTTGAATCATTACTCACTTTTCGTTGTTTTACAGAGTCCAATTTTATGAGCCAATATGAAGCCACTTTTGTTTTATGAAACTTCCAGTTTTCAAGGATCTGTCATGGGGGAGAAACATCAAGAAATTTAATCTAGAATTTTCCTCAAAAGTAACAAGTAAAAAGTAAATAAATGGGTTGAAACTGGATTTAGTACTGAATTTGTGAAATGAAAGCACTATGATATTACTTGCAATGAAGAATGTCTACTTTAATAAAAAAGACATGTGCAAGGATTTCTAACATAAGGTTAAGAAGCCATCTGAATCCAAATTGTTTTGCTTCTTGCTGTAAAAAGCACACAGTCTCTAATAAGTGGAAGTAAAATGTCTTTAGGCATATAAGGTTTGGAAAGAAGCCCAAAATGTAGATTTTCCATTTTAATTTCAAAACCTGTATTTACCATATCACCCATAATAACAGAATATTGAATAATACATTAGAAGATAGCCCATACATAATTAGGATTATATTATCCCTTTGTTTTTGTCAAATCTGCAAAATTTCTGAATATATATTCTAGTAATATATACTGTAACAAACAGATTAAAATATTTGCTGCATATAGTGAACATATAGTAAATAATCTAATGACTAATAATCTAATGATCTAATTACTAGTTATTAATTATGTAAGCCCATGTTTTTTGATAAAACAATCACATTAGCCACAAATATTAGTTCTACTCTCTGATTATTTAATTTTTCTTCTACATGATTCAGAACGGTAGCATCTTACTAATATAGCTAAGAAATAGAAGCAAAATGTCTGGTACAAAGTCATTGGCTATATTTAGAAAAGAACTTGATTACATAAGATAACATATAAATAAAACCATATTTAGCATAGTGACTTACAAATAATATCAATTTGTGTTCCTTTTCCCTTGATGTGACAAATAACAGTTCATTTGCAGGCAAGGTGCTATTTTTACTTTTTTTAAAATATATAACAACAATGCAAAATATTTGGGGGTTTTGGTTACAACTATGTCATGATTTAAAATAGAAATATTCATGACTGATTTTTTAAACAAATAAAGTCATTTTTTATTATTTGTTTCTAGATAGTTGCTTTAGACAAAAGTAATGCCAAAAAGTGAAAAAAGGCCAAGTGCATAGCTCTGGTTTTTATCCTACAACTGGCCACTAGATGGTGTCCTCTCCACTGGAAAAATAATAATATTAGGGAAACCAGAAAACAAAGTTCTATTACTAAGGAATCTACTAACAGCAATTTGAAAAGAATGTTTGAATGAAGAGACAGAACTTTAAATTAAGAAATGTTCTCTCACCAAAAATATTTAAATAACTTGGACCTTTCTAATTAGGAAAAGTCATTGAGTTTAATGTGAATTTTAGGACTCTGCCATTTTAGAATATTCCACTGGGTGGTGCAAATGTGTGTGAAACAAGAAAAACAGAGCATAAGCCATTTCAAAATTTGACCAAAATCATTCAGGGTGTCACAGTCTCGATATTTTATGCCCAAAGCCCACTTTTTTTTTATTACATATCAATTTGATATTAGATCTTTCTAAATCTTTATAGAAGCAACTTTAACTTGATAGTTCTTTCATTATTAAGAGCAATAATTGAATAACATGAATCATTTTCACTTGATTGCATCATTAAAATGGGACAATGCACTAAAAGGTATTTTGCATTGCTAATTATAAAGGTAATCTCACTGCTCATGAATCATAATAATTCAAATAGCCACTGTATTTTCTGCAGCTTGAGGAGGTTGAAGAGAACATCAGTTAAGTTTACTATGTCATTGAGAATGCCTCCATGGGTAAATAAATGTTAATATCCTAAGATGAATAAAAGGAATGAGCTCCTTGGAATTTTATACATGTCAAATACTCACATCTTCTACCAGAAGTTGTGTTTCTGCATCTGATTTCCCTGGAAAACGGATCTTCATGTCCTGGAGGACAAGTAAGGTCTGACTTGTTAGATCCTCTTCTTGTTCTTTTGTTCTTGGTTGCCGCAAAGACTCACTCTTAAATTTGAAAGAATACAGATATTTGGAGGGGGTCTTATTTCATTGTGCCACTATAGTCTGAAAGATATTTCTAGGTGAAAACAATGCACTTTTAATTAAAAAAAGCAAAACAATAAAAAAGGCAAAAGAAATATTTTTTACATTTATTCTTAGAATTAAATTCTTAGGATTAAGTGGGTATGATTTCCCAATAATATCTTTTATACTTCCACACAGTTGCATTTTATTTATCTCAAAATACTAAAATATAAATATGAATAGTTAAAAAAGACTTCCTGGTCAAAAGTTTCACTTACTACATATACCTTTGGCGATTCTTAATTAGGAAAAAAGAAAAAAATCATTCATTGTTAACAAGTGAAACTCATTCACTTATATTTTCCAGATTCTTCCATTTAGAAACATCATCCACAGTAAATAAACAAATTAAATAAATGTCTGGTTTTTGTGAACGTACTTGGCATTATCTATTTCAGCATCTACAAGTCTGATAGCCAAATAAATTCACTGACTTATTCAATACTGAATCTCTGGGACTCATGCTAAGGAGGGAATAATATATGTTAATTTAATATACAGAAAACATAAACAATGTTGTATTTCAGTACTCTAAGGATAATTTATCAATGGTTTATTTTTTCACCTATTAATCAACAGTCCCATTAAAAATTTTTCCACACAACAAATTTCTCCAAATTGTCAAATATACTGCATAATACACTATAAAATCATATATTTCCTCAGATGATTTTCAACAAAATTATCAACTACACTAGTAGCCCAGTGCACAAAATTTGTGCACATTAAAGGGGAATTAATTGCCCTAACCAGTTTGGCTCAGTGGATAGAGCATCATTCTGCGGACTCAAGGGTCTCAGGTTTGATTCCGGTCAAGGGCATGTACCTTGGTTGCGGGCACATCCCCAATGGGGAGTGTGCAGGAGGCAGCTGATCGATGTTTCTCTCTCATCGATGTTTCTAACTCTCTATCCTTCTACCTTCCTCTCTATAAAAAATCAATAAAATATATTTTTTTAAAAAGGGAATTAATTAGCAGAGATATTTTAATATTGCTATTTGCCCTTTCTCTATAATAGAAGTGTGAGAGATGAAAGGAAATTAGTAAAATGTATATGAAAATAATATATAAATTTATTAATAAATAAAAAGTAACAAAAGGATATAACAACAGTGGCATGATATAAAAATGACAAAAACATGATATGAAAACAACAAAAACATGATATGAAAACAACAGTGATGCAAACAATGACTGATAAAGTGATTAAATTTATTCTAATATCTCCCTGTACACCACATTAAGAGTGAAAACACTTTCAGAGTGCTTGACTAATTTCCCTTGTGATGAAGTACTTAGAACTTTAACTGTAACATCACATGCTCTTCAAACTCGAGAGAAAGCAACATATAACTGACCATGTGCAAAAACGAGTTCAGGTAGGAATATGCCTACTTTGTCTAGAGTTTGCCCTTGTGATTTATTAATAGTCATCACAAATGCTGGCATCATGGGAAACCGTCGTCGAATCAATTTAAATGAGAGGCCAGTGTCAGATAGGGACAAATTAATTCTTGGAATCAGAACAGCCTCTCCCTCTGCAGATCCTGTTAATACTTCAGCTTCGATAATGTTAGGTCATAATCTTTTGATAATAAATCTGGTACCATTACAAAGACCCCATTTACTATTGAGATTTCTCAATAGCATGATAATTGCACCCACTTTCAATTTTAATTTATGACACGGCATTCCCAAAGGAGTAATACTATTAAGAAATTTGATGGCAAAATTTTTCTTTTCAGCATCATCTGTGGAATCAATGGAATTATCACTCAATTATGTGTGAAAATCTCCATCGAGTATATCCAAATTTTTTTCATTTAATTTTTGAACATGCTCATTTTTTGGACAAAGAATTGCACGTTTAGATATATTTTTAATATTATCTATAGCAGTGGTTCTCAAGCTTGGCTGCACATTAGAATCACCTGGGAATCTTTTTAAAATCCTGACTCCTGGGCCTCATCCTCTGGAAATTGTTTCCTTGTTATGGGGTGGGGCCACAACATTAGTAACAAAGAAACAGAATTAAAACTTTATTGTGGGGAGCCGCTACAGTGTTTTGGACAGGTTCAAGCCTTGGACTGATGAGAGGGCACAGTCCTCTCATTGCCACATGCAAGTCCCAGCTCGGAGGGCAAGCCCCTCCCAGCACAATTATAGCCAACAGCTGTAGTTGTAAGCTTGAACCTATGGTCTGAACACGTGGCCCCACATGCCTGAGTGATGTAGGCTTGATAGAGTTCAGGTGCATGTAGTTTAGTAGGATTGAAACCCAGGAGAATGTTGTAAACATCTTGCTCACGCCCTTACTTTGCCTCGTAGCATCTGCTATAAAATAATGGCATGGCTGTGGGCATGGTCGCTCTCTCAGAGAAGCAGCATCCCACAGAGACCCGGCTTTCATTCTCTTGTCTGTCTTCTCTAAGCCTTTCAGCTGCCCCCACTGAGGTTCACCCTTGGCCATGCTGGTGCAGCACACTTTCTAAAGATATGCCTCCATGCTCCCAGGGTGGGTTCCTGCCTCAAACCCTGCCCTTACAGGAAATAGCTCCAGGAAACAGCTCAGGGGAGGGCACAGACGTTGCCAAGACTACCCTTGCAGGACTGACTTCCTTCCATTTGGTCGTGGTTCTGGTGGTCGTGATGAACACCACCCAGGGTTTTTATATAAGTAGATAAGCAAGTGGAAAATAAAATGCTATTCACAGTGTTCATTCTAAAGTTCTGTGATATTCTGGTCTGCCTTATAAGAGTTCATACTAAGTGATAGGCTAAGAGAGATTAAGCAATCCAAACTCCATGATACCATGAACTGAATGATGAGGTTCAATCTATCCTCCTCCCAACTTATCATTTTGCCACCTAAATCTCAGAACAATGCTTCCTGTAATCTCAAAAGGAGCAAAGTAGACGACTTACCACCTGAAAATTAGAGTTGGCATCATTACTATGAGGCAGATGCCTCACGTAGGAGGAAGCACGGTTTAAGGAATGTGACCGACACGATGAAGTTGTCCGGGATGCTGACATCATTTGTTGAGCAGAAAGAGGGCGGATGTCTGCACTACAAGGTGATTGAGAAGAGATGGACCGAGGGCAACTGAATGAACGCCTTATGGAACCTATCAATGATGGAGAAGAGGAGTAATTAATAGAATTTCCCACCATATAAACTAATAGTTAGACCACAGGGTAGTGGCATGGTGATAAATGTCAAAGCATAATTCTTCAGTTTAAATGGTGAACTTGGTGCAGAACACATGTCATGTATGTAGAATGGCTATCATGAGAATATTTAAATGGTACCCTTAATTTTCTGTTCTCAAAACATGACATAGAAGAACCAGAAAAAAGGTAAACTAACATTTATGGAAAGGAAAACTAACCTTTTATAAGCCAGGCATTGTGTTACATACACTTTTTTTCTAATCCTCACAGAAACCCTCTGAAGCAGGAATCCCCGTCACTAGGAGGGTCAGGAAAAGAACTTTTCAAGGTCACACAACAAGAGAGTGTGCCAAGCTCAGGTTTAAATCTTGACCCAATGCCAGTGTCTCACTCTTCCTATGAGACCATGAGATTACTATCCTTTACCCTTGGATTAGATTGGTCAATCATTAGAATCTGTATGTAGGTTATAAGAAAAATATTTTACGGTAATATTTATAGGAAGGAATGGACAGGAGTCTAGAGAGTTACAGAATTTTGGGCCCATGAGGGAAAAAAAAAACACAGAAGAAAAATATAAAGATTATCCTAATGGAATTTAAATATATAATTCTTACAAGAGTGATGCTAGACAGTCTTCTTATTCACATGTGAGAAGAATTTTTTTTAAATAGATGAAATTACCATAGCAATAGGTTATGAGAAAAAGTATATGGAACTAAAGGGTTGTAATCAGAACAAACGAGTAGTAAAAACATAGAATATCTTCCCCATTATACATTGAGGAAATTTAAAAGAGAGAATCCACTATTCCAGGTAAATTTGATTCCTGACACAGGAAAATAGAATATCACTCAATATTATCAACATTTATATCTTTTTTTAGTTCATACATTTTATAAACCTTCTGCGCTATATTATATTCTCTTTTGTTTAGGAATCTTCATTGGTTAAATAATTTAATAAAACTCACATAAAGGCAAGTTGGATAGCCAAATATTTCTCTTCATTAGCTGTTGAAAAAATGTAAACCTTTTAAAAGGCAGTGGATATATAAACCTTATATTTAAGGGTGTATTTATAAATGATTTTTTCAATAGATATGAAGCCTAATACTCTTCATTTGGTTCAAAAGAGTAAAAAGAAGTATATTCATTCAAGCTATAAAAGATGTTTAAAAAAAAAAACATTTTCACCACCTCCATTTCTTTAAACTAGTAACTTCCATCTAAGTTTAAAAGTCACAGCATTTTGAAAGGACTGTGCTGCTAGAGAAGGGCTGTGTGGGGAACATACCCCAGATCAATCTTCTACTAAGAAAGTACCCAATGCATGTTCTTCAACCTGCACCTGGGCCCTGCTCTCCTGTAAGGCTTCACATGGTGATTTGTGAGGAGCACGCCTGGGAGAGCACCTGAGCAAAAGTTGTCAGCTGAATCCTGCTGTGTCCGCACAGCCATTCCCTGGAAACATACCTTGCCAAAGGTGAGGAATGTTGTCAGTCCTGACCTTTAGCTCAGGCGCCAGGGGTGGATGCTATTATCCAGGTCTGACAATTATGAGAAGCCACAAAAATGAAGAATGCAGCTTAATCTTTAAGCATGATTTAACATAATTTCCTTTTTCTTAAACTCTAGTAAAACTTCGTGGTATCATGCTGTATATAATAAATGTGCTGCACTAGCTCTGAGTAGCTGTCTCTCCATCTGAGAACAGTGTCCTAGCTGGTCCCAGCTTTACTTGTATAATGGCTCTGTGTCTTTCTTTTTCTTAATCTCCCATCACCCCTACTCAGGTCTCTTATTCTCTCTAGCCACGCGGGTTGCGGCAGAGGTTTGGACATGTGTAATCTGACCATAGATGTAGAAGGAAACTATCCTTTCTCTTGAATGGCCAAAGATTCCCATTTTTCCCACGCATACACTGAAAATTCAGACACAGTAACTAAGTAGCTAGATTTACCAATGACATTTAGGTCGGTTAACAAAAAAATGGTTATAATTTAAATAAATTATGTGAAAAAATATTTAATATAGTTTTGTATATGACTAACTTACATCAACCCCAAATATATATTTCAAAACTATAACAGGTTTGAGTTTCCTAAGTTAACCATCTACAACGGAAAGTGTTACAAATAATCTGGACTTTGTCCTTGTTCATCAGCATCACTTTGGACAGAAAACTCAAGAAGGGTCTGTGGCTATATTACTTAGGGTAAGAGAAAATATAAAACAAAGAGAAACCCTTATTGCAATTTCTAATGACTATAGAAATAAAATCTAATACTTAGTTAAAAGATATGCAATTGAATTAAATTAATTTTAAAAGGAGAATTCACACTTAAAAAGATTTCAGTGCATTATTTGTCCAATATCGATTTATTAACCTATTGGTCTAAGAACAAAGAACAATCTCAAAGCTATGAGAACCTGAATAATTTTTCTTAATCCTACCCTTTTCTCTGCTAATTCATTGCTATGAGGGATGCACACATTAGCCAAGAGGGGTTCAAAATGGGTGAAATCTGGACAAAACAAGGCCAGCTTCTGAGAGGAACAGAGTCATACACAGAGACATACTGAAAGTACTTAAGAGAGCTTTAAGAAAAAAGGAAGAAACTGATAAAATAACTATAAACTCTGGAACAGGTGCTCCATAAAGATACCTTAAGTGAGTAAATAAACAAACAAATGCAATGGAACATAATACAACATTATTTCCCCTCCAAAAATATAAACCTTCAAAGACAGGAACATTAGCAGGTATCTTTATGAAATAATTTAGAAGCAAATGAAAGACCATTAAGATCTTCATCTATTAGTTATGCATTCCTCATGCATTTTGCCATAAGTGTTGAAGGCAAAATTCTATTATCAGGGAAGCGAACACATTAAACCATTGTCGGAGATGAACAAAGGCTTACATTGTGTTTATTGCATGATCGAAGCAGTCCTTTTAATGAAGTCCTGCGATAATGAAGGTCAAGGCAAAGAGAGATGTGAGAAACAAGAGATAAGAATAAGCCCTGCAGTGTCAGGAAGGGATATCTAAGGGAGCCGGGGCAAACAGGGATGCTACACTGGACATTTGGGGATGAAAGAAGAATTATGGACACAATAGTGGACATTGGGGATCAAAAAAACAATAAAAGACAGAAGAATGGAAGAGAAAATGTAAAAAGAAATAAAGGAAGAAAGAAGACTAAAACTAAAAAGGAAGGAGACAGAGAAGCTGGTTGTTCACTCCCCCAATCTACCAAAAGCTCCAACTTTAGCGCTTACCCATGATGAAAACGAGAGGAAACAAAAACTATTTCACAATTGTGTGGCTCACAGATACATTCAAGTCAAATACCTAGAGAGATATATATTTTAAAAAGTAGGCAAGGATACACAACAAAAGGGGTGGCAGAGAGGTAGAAAAAGCAAGAAAGGGTGTGAAAGAATATATTGGCTTAAGAGAGAAGGCAATCAGCAGATCAGTCACGCATCACATTTTATAAATCCATGCAGATGTCTAGGGCTTAACAAAAACTATGAAATATAGAAGAATGGACTATAGAGATTCTTAGGTCGACTAAACTTTCATCTTCTACTTGCAGACCCTGAAGGGGATTGTGGGATGCACCCACGTCTGGTAAGGGAAGGGCGTGGGATAGAATTCAGGTCTCCTCACACAGGACAAGCATCCATTTGGCCCAAGATCCTTTTATTGAGTTTTGTAATTCAATTCCATAATTCTTCAGATAATAACAAAATTAGAAGAAATTAACTTACTGGATGTTTGGAATATTTTGCAGTGGTTGGGCTGTTTAAGATCATAAGTAACTTGCTTTTCTCTTCTTTTACTTTGGTACTCTTCATTTTCATCTGATTCTGAAGAGCTGTCACTACTATCATAACTGCTATCACTGCTGTAGTACTTCTGTCTTCTCATCACCTCTGTACTCTCAGGCATGGAAAAGAGAGGCTAAAACACAGAAAAGGTGTTACTGTCAGAACGTTTCTTAAGAAGGCACATTAACATGATTAATTACTATTTTTTAATTTCCCACCATGCATGTTGCTTCTCACTGACACCTGAAAATCCTCCAAAGTGCTACTGCTACAGTGCTCTTATTAGCCTCCAATGCAATTCACTAATTTTTCTATTTCTGCCAAATATTCTTCCTTAAATAACATAGTTCAGTCATAATGAGGAAAATGCTTTTTCTCCATGATTTAAAAAAAGACAAGGTTATCACAAACAGATAAAATTATAAAAATTAGAAACATAATCAAATTTTCTTCATTCCATACAGAGAGGTTACCCATTACTCATCAAGACTCAGGTATGTACCTCTGTTGTATCATTAATGTTCAGTCATTTAACAAAGTGTGTGTATGTGCTTGTGGATATGTGTGCACATGCTTGTGAGAAAGAGAGGAGGAGGAGAGAGGAAGGACAAGGGGGGCAGAGAGACAAAAAGAAAAGGAAAGCAGAGGCCAAATAAACCACAGAAAGTAAAGTAAGATAAACCACTATACGTCCACAAAGGTCACATCTTAAAACAGAAGCCAATGAACCAATTCACTCAGATAATGTGCAAAAGGACTAAGGTATTTCTCATATATCTAACTTGTTATGAACATTTTTACAAATAAAAAATTGTAGTTAATTGTCCACTTTCCAAATTGGTTATGAACAACTTAGGTTCTTTCTCAGAAGCTTCCTAACTATGACACAAAGGGTCTGGCCATAATGGGACCACATTGCTTTTCACTGCCCGTGCTACATTTAAGAAAAACAAAAGTGATATAATGTAAATCAATACAGCATAAATTTTTGGAGGATTGGTGCCATGCAGAGGGTAAAACTGTAAAGATTCAAAATGCCAGACTACTGTGTTCCAATATCTCCATTAGAATCTCTTGTCTTCAAACCTCCCCATCATGTGTTTCCAGTGCCACTGAAAGAATGAGATCAGGGAAGTGGGACAGTTTTACTTCACAAAGAGTATGAACCAACAAGGTCAAGACAGTTTGGGAACTCAGTCATGTTCAGAGACTATTTATCACACATACCATATGTCTCTTATTCCTGCTGGGGAAAGTTCCCATAGTTGTATGTAAGTTTCTTGTTCTCTGTTCAAACACAAATGTTTGATGTCAGCATGTATAAATAATGAAATCCTTGGCTACCATGGGATTTCACTGGAATAAGGCATCTCCTCTCATGTAACGTGTGAGATGAAAGGTACATAAAGGAAGAGCATTGCATGAAGTGCCCGGAATACACAGTAAGCCAGAGCATGATCTTCTTACAGTTATTGGCTTTGCAAAGGATGAAAAATCACCAGAGGAAAGTAATTTAATATACGACGGTACCAACTTGTGTTTAAAAGTATGTTCTCCTTTTGATAGTCCAATATTTACTGAGCACTAGCAATGTTCATTGTGATATGCATAAAAACCAGTAATTTACCAGTAATACAATCACCAAATATCTTGACTGCCTTGGGGAATAAGAATTCTGGAGGAAGGGCGTTTCTCCGGAAGTCTAGCAGACCCAGAAGAAACAGTGGCACAATCAGGCTCACTGACAGTGCCTTCCTTCGTGGAGGCAAACAGATTTCAGGTTTTGTAAGGGAGCTTGACTACATAGTGAGCTATTTGACCTTTTAAAGAATCACAAGAGGAAACTAAAAGCTGTGTCATATGTGCATTTTGACCAACACACTGTTCAAGCAATAATTAATAAGACGTCATAGTGGCATAAACGCTAAACCAGTGGTTCCCAAACTTATTTGGCCTACCGCCCCCTTTCCAGAAAAAAATATTACTCAGCGCCCCCTGGAAATTAATTTTTTTAAAAAATTTAATAGCAATTAAACAGAAAGATATATGCCCCCAAATGCACCTGTGGCCATCACCGCCTCCCCCTGGATCGCTGCAGCGCCCACCAGGGGGCGGTAGCGCCCACTTTGGGAATCACTGCGCTAAACAATGCCTTAACTGCAAAATGGAATTATTTGCAAACTGGTATTGCGTTATCGCACAAACCATAGTACTTACTTTTATGTCCAATTTTATTTTTAAGTGGGTCATAAGTGAATTGCAATAATTAATATACAAAGCTCAGAAACTTCCCAGTGTTTTCCAAAGTGAAGCAATGACTCATTAAGGTATTCACTTTTACAGATACGCTAAAAATATAATTGTTCCAAAGGCATTGGCAATGACATCTTCCACAATTCCTCAATAGAGAGGATATAATTCAGAAGAGCAGCGCCTGACATCCAAGACCTCCAGTCTTCACCAGATCCGTATCTTTCACCAGGTTCATCATGTACCATTGTACTCTCCAAGAATCTTCCACTGGAGTCATACCAAATTCTTCATATTTCTCTAACAAGCTAGGCAATGTCACAACTCCATGTCATTGCCTTGAATGTTCCCTTTAATCCAAACATCCTTCATCCATCTTAAATGTTTACAGCATTACTCATTTGTAAAGACCCAGTTCAAATGGCATTTATGAAGCCATCCACAGTCTACCAATCCCTTTATTCTCTCGCTGTAACACTTCCCACTCGCTTTATTACAGTATTTGCCACAATCTGGTTTTTGGTTCGCCTATCTGCTCATTCTGCCAATGAGGTCCTTACAGACACATTCAACAAATGTAACTAATAGTGGGGGTTTATAAATATTTTTATTGAATTTTAGAGAGAGGAAGAGGGAGAGAGAAACAATGATGTGAGCTCAGAACATGATCAGCTGCCTCCTTCATGCCCCCTACTGGAGATGGAGCTGCAACTCGGGCATGTGCCCTGACCGGGAATCAAACTCTAGCATGTGCTCTGACAGGGAATCATACCGGCAACCTTTTGGTGCACTGGACGATGCCCAACAGAGCTACACCAGCCAGGGCCTAACTAATAGTGTTTGAGAACCTACCAAGTTCCAGATGCTGTGCTCGGTGTGAGAGATGCAAAGATAAAAACATCCTACCCTCAAGGAACTTACAACCTTTCATTAAGGCAAAGATGCAAGTAATTATTTGTCACAACTGCTCTACAGAAGCATTATTTCTGATACAGCAGGAGGAGGGGAAGGAAGATCTAAGTCTAATTAGGGGAGTGAAGAGGATTCTACAAAGGTAGCACCGATTCAGCTGGATGAGGAAGGGGGGCTCTAATCAGTCAAGCACAGAGGCATAGAAAAAGCATGAAAGGACAACAGAGAAAGATGAGTGTAAGGACATAGCTTAGTATTGCTGAAACGTAAAGTAATAAGAGCACAATGAAAAAGGTCCCAACACTTAACAAATTCATCTCTTCCCTGCTCTCTTAGCAAGAACTTTTTGACATATAACCAAAGACCATATTCATGTCATCACCACAGTGCAGATAAAGGTAAAGCAAACACCTGCTCATTTTTGCACGCATGACTGCTTTCTCTTTATTCCTAGAAGCTGCCTATGTCAATTAACACCATTTCAATGTTGCTAAGTCAGCAATATATGGGGCTTCTGATAAGGTTTTCTAGAGTCACGATTTGCCTTCTCTATATCACTATACGTCTCTGGTAATTATATGTCTAGAGAAATGAGGAAAAATTAATACTGAGTATAAAACAAGGCTATTAGTTCTAGGTCCCTCTTGGTCCTGACTCATCAGGATTTCACTAGTATTACAAAAAGAATCCAAAAAGAGGAAAACTAACAAAACAAAACAAAATAGAACTTCTATGTGTGAGATAACCAACTCTCTCTGTACTGCACACATGGTCCATGCAGTTCCTTGAAAGTGGCATCAGTCATTACTATAGTGACAAATACAAAGGGGAAACAACTGTACTTAGTCTCATCTACTTGGATACTAAGAAAGATATGGGTACTGTACCTTTGGTCCTCGAGGCATGGAAGTTTTGCCCATCAACTTTTCGTCATCGATTTCACATTGTTCCAGAAGATCCAAAATTTCTTCCTCCTTAAAAAGATATTAATTAAAACTATGATCACCAATGGATTCTAGGATTTTTCTAAATTTATTAATCTCCATAAAATAATGTACAACACAGTTCCTAAAACTATTTAATGAAGACTACTCAGATCAAATGAGTAATAAAGGCCATGAAAAACTCTTTAAAAAATGTCGTTCACTAAAATCTGACAATATAAATAATACATTGCTGAAAATCTATTATATATTACTAGAGGCTTGATGCATGAAATTCGTGCAACGATAGGCCTTCACAGCCCTGGCTGCCTCCCAGCCCCAGCCCTGGCCCCGGCTGCTGGGGCCCTCGCCTGGCACTGCCCACATCCGCCCTCACACACCCCTGGTTCCCTGGTTCCACGGAGCCCCCCATCAATCGCCACACAGTGGGTGGCCCAGACCTCCCTCTGCAGGACAATCATGGGGTGATGGCAGGGCCCCCTGACCAATCACATAGCACCCGCCTTGGCTGGCCTGGCACCAGTGCGTGTCATCCAGTGCGTGTCATCCGGATGGTCGTTCTGCTGTTTGGTCATTCAATAGATTTGCATATTATGCTTTTATTATTATAGATTATAAACAAATGTATTTTTATGTTTTAGAACACTATTAAAATCTGACTATAATAATAAAATAGCCTATTAGACACTTTAAGTTTTCTAAAAATCACTCTAATTTTCCAGACCACAATCTTATCAATTATTTCTATATTGATTATTGCAAAACAATATTACAATTTCAGACAGAAAACTGATGACTGGCCTAGTAGTTAGTAATCTAATGTTAGTATTTATTCAATGGGCACAATTTAATGGAATTTTCAAAACTTCAACTATTGAACAGTAGTATCTTTAGAATTTTATAAAATGTTTTCATTTTATAGGCTTAATACCTTCTCTAATCCTCTTCTAAAATCATTTTGAAGTCAAAGGGAAAAGTTATAAAAACATAACACCCAAGTGAATACTGAGCAAACCAGAGCAACGGGAGCATAATAGCTATGTTGAAAGAATAATTGATGCTTCTTTGAACTATTTATTCAACCTACAAAAATATCACATCTTTACTTATATGATTTATATTTCAGTACCTCTTTAAAAAAAAAGGTTTCTGAAGAAACTAGAAATCTCACTGTGCAATGGAAATTTATGTTACTCTTCATACCAAAGAAAGTTTAGCTATTAAAATGCCAAAACATTCTTGCTATACAGTTTGATTAAATAATAATCCTACAATGAATTCCAAAGCACAAGATAGTTAAAATGAAATGTATGGAGTTCTACCTCTGTTTAGGAGAAAAAATGTAAATAGGCAATACTTTCATTGTAACAGCTAGAGAAAGACAAACTAAATAATCATATTTTTAAGACTTTGGAAAGCTGTGGATTAAAAAGTAGTATAAAGGAACTAAATACCAGAGAGGGAAAAGTTCTTCCTAGGTTTGAAGAGATGAGTGACCTCTTTGTACATTGGGGTCATTTGCATATCTGGACACAGATCAACAAAGATCAGGCCCAGAACAGACAGAGAGATTCTGCTATGATAAAAAACCCAAAGGAAATTCCTATGGTCATGTGGGCTAGTGTAACATCTGGAAGAGCCCCACAGAGCTGGCTCTCTCCACCTGCTGGGTCGCTCTGATAGCACTTTTTTAGTATAAAATGATATAGGAGAATGGAGGCAAGGATGGAAAGCCAGAAATACTTATCTGTAGTCTTACAGTTCTTAGATACCAATAGAGAATGAGGCCTGTAATAAACACTGAATAGATGTCACCTTCAAGGCACTTGAAACTATAACTATTAAAACCCAACCTGGACCCAGTTCGAACTTTCTTATTTTATTTATTTATTTATTTATTTATTTATTTATTTATTCATTTATTTATACTTCAGAGAGGAAGGGAGAGAAAGAGATAGAAACATAAATGATGAGAGAGGATTGCTACCTCCTGCATGCCCCCTACTAGGGATCAAGCCCGCAACCAGGCATGTGCCCTTGACCAGAATCGAACCAGGGACCCTTCAGTCCACAGGCCAGTGCTCTACCCACTGAGCCAAACTGGTTAGGGCAACCTTTTAATTTTAATTAAACATGTTTGACATATAACATTGTATAAAATTAGGGTTTACAACATATTGGTTATGATACATTTATATATTGTAATGCTGCCATTGTGTGTGGTTAGAATAATTAAATCTAATCTCTTAGCAAGTTTAACTATTATAGTAAAATATAATTGTCTATATACACCTTTCTCCCACCCCACCACCCAGCCTGTGGTAACCACAATTTTACTGTTTTTAATTGGATTTTTAAAAATTTCACATGTAAGGGATATCATACAGTGTTCATCTCTCTGTCTGACATATATCACTTAGCATATTGTCCTCAAGGTCCATCCAGGTTGCCTCAAATGGCAGGGTTTTCTTCCTTCTCATCACAGAAGAATAGTTCATTGTAGTCTACACCACATCATCTATATCCACTAATCCACTAACAGGCACTTCGGTTGTTTTCCACAGCTGCTAAACCAATTTATACTCCTACCATGAGTGTGCAAGCATTCCTTTTCCCACATCCTTCCAATGCTTGTTAACTCTGTCTTTTTTTTTATAATAACCATTCGAACAGGTGTAAAGTGATATATCATTGTAGTTTTGATTTATATTTCCTTGATGATTAGTGATGTGGAGCATCTTTCGTATCTCTGTTGGCCATTTGGATGTCTTCTTTGGAAAAATCTCTATTGTGTTCTTCTGCCCATTTTTTAATCTGATGGGTTTTTTTGTTATTGAGTTACATGAATTCTTTATATATTTGGCTAATAACTCCTTATCCTCAATATAGTTTGAAAAAATATTCTCTCATTCTGTAGGTTGCATTTTTTTGTTTGTTTGTTTCTTTTGCTATATTGAAGCTTTTAATTTTGATGTAGTACCACTTGCTGACTTTTGCTTTTCTTTAACTTTTCTTTGGCTCGAAGTAATTAGCCCCTCACTCTAACACTCTGTACTAAGAAATATTTGCCTTCTTTTGGAGAAAATATCAGTTCAGCTTTATGATTCTTTTATAAGCATCTATCAAACAAATAAAAATTACAGGACACCCAAAATAACAATTTAAAAATGTGACCTATAATCAAAAGTAAAGGATGTCAATAAAAGCAGGTCAATAAATAATCCAGATACTAAAATTAACAAAGATTTTTCAAAAATTATTATATACATGTTACAGGAAACAATGAAAAGGAGAACAAAATGAATGAAGGATGCAAAATTTTACCAGAGAAATGAAATTTTAAAATACCAAATAGATATTCTTGAATTGACTAATATAATCTAAAATTAAGAAGTGATTGGGTAGGCTCAAGGTCAGTCTACACACAGCAAGTATATGTCAATGAAAATTATTCAAAGTGAAAGAGAGAGAGAGAGAGAGAGAGAGAGAGAGAGAGAGAGAGAGAGGTAAAACAGAATGGGGCATCAAAGATAAATGGAATGCTGTCCAATGATCTAATATATGTGAAACTAGAGTCCCATAAAAGAGACAATATACAAAAGGCAGCAAAAATATCTGATGAAATAATGAAAGCAAATTTAAATGTATGGAAATTAAGCAACAAACTTCTAAATAACCAAAATAAAATTCAGAAAACAATTTTAAATGGCAGTTAATAAAACCAATGAAAGACATTAACACCCATCTTCAAGAAGTTGACAAAACCACAAGCAGGGTAAATACAAAGGAACTCACACATAGACACATCAAAGACAAAATGCTGAAAATAAGAGAAAAAGCAGTCAAGACAAAAGACATATTATATTCAGAGGAAAATCAAAAAATAATGGCTGAATTCTGAATAGAAATGAGAAGAAATAACATCTTTAAAAGTGCTGAAAGAAAAAAAAAGCCTGCCAAGATAAAATTCTATGCTCAGTTAAACTATCCTATATAATAAAAGGATAATATGCAAATTGACTGAAGAGCAGAATGGCCAGTCAGCAGAGGGCAGGGCTAGGGAGTGGGCAGTGCCAGGCCAGCCAAGGCAGGTGCCAGCAGGCAGAGGGAGGGGATGGCGATCAGGGGGCGGGCAAATAACAATATTAAAATATTTCTTCTAATTAATTCACTTTCAATGTGTACAAATTTGTGCACCGAGCCACTAGTTTAAAATAAAGATGAAAGTAAAAGACAATTTCAGTTTAAAAAAAAAACAACTGAGAGAATTCATACTAAAATGAATATGAAATACTAGAGAAAGTTTCTTCAAACTAGGAGAAATGATCATGTCAGAAGGATGAAATGAAGAAGACAAGAAAAGATAAATATGTAGGTAAATATGAAGTGGTATTTAGAAAACTATTAAAGACCAATTAGAGCTTCGAAAATAATAACAAGGAATTTTAAAGACTGTAACATATGTAAAAGTAATATATGTGATAACAGCACAAAGTCTAGAGAGAGGCACCAAATAAAATTAAACCACTAGGATTCTTGTGAAGTGATAAAATACTAATTCAAGGTAGACTTTATGATTTAAGGATGCATATTGTAATTTCTTTTCAAAACCCCCTATTATGTTGCAACTATAACTAAAAGCCAATAATGAAGATAAAATAATTTAAAAATTGACTTTTCCAAGAATAAAGAAAAGCAAAAAAGAAATACTAAACAGATGGTATAAATAGAAGGAAAAAAAAGAGCAAAAGGCAGACATAAACCCAACTATACCAATAATTTTGTAAAATTATTTAAAGACACATAGTCAGACAAGATTTAAAAACAAGTATGACTTAACTTTATGCTATTTACCAGAGGTATTGTAAATATTGTTACTTTTAACATGAGTTACTAGTAAAAGTGGCTGGATAGAAGAGATATGCCATTTAAACAGTAACCACAAGAAATAAACTATTAATCACACAAAGTAAAATTTAAGACAAAGAATGTTACCCAAAAGAAAGATAAACACTGCATAATAATGATAAAATAGGAAAGGTGAATTAGGAAGACATCTTCATAACTTCAAAGAATCTGAAACAAAAATTGACAGAACTAAATCCACAAATCTCTCTCAGCAATTGCTACGCCATATAGGCCAAAGAAATATATAAAAGGATATAGAATATTTAAACACTAATAGCCAAATTTACTTAAATGACATCTATAAATCTCTACAACCAACACCTGCAGTATACACATTACCAAGTAGACTTGGTACATTTGCTAAAATATGTACTATATTGAGACATAAAGCAAGTCTCAATTCATTTTACAAGACTGAAATGCTTTTCTAACACCGATATACTATACCAGAAATTCCTAAAAAAATAAAACTACAAAATTTTAATGTATGGAAATGAATCAACAAACTTCTAAATAACCAAAATAAAAATCAGAATTTAATAAAAATATAATATATAAAAATTGCTATGTAAAAGGGCAATATGTAAAAATAATCAGATAGTTATATCCAGGCAACAAACCAAAAAATGAAAAACTATTTATTGGCAATAGTAGCAAAAAAAAAACACAAATACTTAATAAATTTAATGAAAGATGTGCAAGAACTATATAGCAAAAACAACAAACAGAGCTGAGTAATAAAAGACTCAAATAAATGGAGATATGCCATATTAATGGATCAGAGACTCAGTATTGTTAATTCCCGAGAAATTGTTCTACAGTTTCCTCACAGTCCCAATTAAAATCCCAGCAGCCTGTTAAAAAATATTCTCAAGATGATTCTAAAATGTATATGAAAAGGTAAAAGGACCTAGAAAGCCCAAAAGAGTTTGAAAAAGAACAAATTGAGGGCATGCACTACCTAATCTCAACACTTACTAAAAAGAAACAATAGTAAAAAAAAAAAAAGTGTAAAATTTGCATAAGAATAGGCTCACAGGCCCAGGGAACAGGGCAAAGTGGTGACATTTAACTACATTTGAGGAATAGAAATAGGGAATTAAGGTTTGAAGCCTATTTCTTAAGTGTCAAGTACTTTAATAGACTATTTTAGTTAACCTCAATTTTATTTTCATAACCAACCTGACAAGTAGTTTTAATACTACTATTTTGGTGACAAGGAAACCATTGATCAAATAGTTTAGCCTAAGGTTATAAAATTAACATGTGGGGAACTAGAATTTGAATCTAGATGTATCTGTACCCCTAGGTTTTCTGCTAGAAAAAATAAGGATGGAGGATCAGTGTAATGAGAAAAGGAATAGATTATTTGGGCACAGGAGAGGGAAAAAACATTATAGAACAGGTGAAGAAAAATGAAGAAAGGTCTCCAACTGGGTAAAAAAAAAAAAAAAAAAGGTCAGGCTGGCTTGGCTCAGTGGTTGAACATTGACCTATGAACTTTGAAACAATCGGACCTATGAACCAAGAGGTCACAGTTTGATTCCTGGTCAGGACTCATCATTGATGTTTCTATCTCTCTCTCCCCCTCCTTCCTCTTTGAAATCAATACAAATATATTTAAAAATAAAAATAAAAAGGCCACATAACATAATTCTAATGTTAAAACATTTGCATACCTCAAAAGAGGGAAATTTGGAGGAAAATAACACTTGGGCTATACAATGTTCCTTCTGCTTCTATCTCTTAGGTCTAGCCAGCTTGAAAATGGCTTTGAAACTTTCTGTTGTGGAATCTGAGTGAAAAGATCATATTTATCATGATTTTGTAATTACTCAATATAACAGTGTATCCATGATATGGGGAATATATTACTGTAGGGATATGTCAAGTAATATAAAGTCCAAACAGTATGAATAGGTCCATATAAAGTTAGTTGCCCAATGGAACATTAGTAAGTGTCATGCAAGCAGAGGCTTGATTAGCACTTCCACACTGGGCCTGTCTTTAAATTCTCCCTTTTGGAACCTCAGACTACCACAGTGAGGGATCTGGCTACCCTGCTGAGAGACCATGCAGAGAAAAAGAGACACCCAGTCAGCTCCCCAGATGTTCCAGCTCTCTCACCTGAGGCTCTAGACATGTCAGTGCAGCCATCTTGCATATCCTTTCAGATAAATGCAGTGAATCATACTTTATTCACTCCAAGCAAGACAAGCAGAAAGAACTACTCAAGTGAGCCCAGCCAAGTGTGCAGAATAATGAGCAAATAAATGAAAAGGTTTATTATGCTGCAATAGATAACTGATAGACCGTCAGTAAGGTAAACAGATTACTAGGTGGGGAGTGGGGGAATGTTTGGGGATTTGCATGTGTATTTATTACTTCTCCTTTATCAGGTCTAGGCAGCATCAGGGAAAAATACTGAATAATGTTAGATACGATACAAATAATGAGAACATTACAAACCACTTGGTAAATACAATGGATTTTTTAATTCAGTTACATATACACAGTTGTTATAACACATGTTTATTACAATAGATCAGTATTGCAACATATAATATCAACATTCTCTACTGCATAATTTGTCCTGTTAGACAACTTCTTATTTTTGAAACCACCTGGTTGGTTATGAAATGTTACCAACTGTGAAAATGGAAGCAAGTGCATCTTCAACGTAAAATGTTTCTATATGTGGGACTGAGGTAGGTTGTTTTTAAAAGCATATTATTTGGCATAATTCTTTTTTCTCTTTATAAACACGTATCCCTTTACCTTCATCCTTTTCAAAGGATTGTTCAGCTCACGCTGGAATGAAGCTGCTCTTCCTGAAAGAAAGGTCTGAAAGGCAGCAGCCAACAAATTTTCATACTTTTCAAGTAGAGTTTTATCATCAGGAGGATAAATTCGTCTACAATAAAATCAGATAAACCAACGTGTTTAAAAAAACAGACTGACAACGGTCAGGGGTGGGGGGTTGGGTAGCTGGGTGAAAGAAGGTAAAGGGATTGGCAAAAAACAAAAACATATACATAACACATACACACAGAAAACAGTGTGGTGATAGCCAGAGGGAAAGGGGGCAGGGCTAGGTGGAGGTGGGCAAAGAGGGAGAAATAGGGATGAAAAGAGACTGCTTGGGGCGACGGGTGCATGATAAAAGTGTGCAGATGATGTTTTGTTGAGTTGCACACTTGAAACCTGTATAATTTTGTGAACCAGTGTCACTCCCAGTAAATTCAATTTTTTAAAAAAAGAAGTTATTATAGTGTAAGAGTTAATGTCAACTACATAGCTCATCCTTAACCTCCTATTCTGCCTTTACTGGGTGCCACAAATAAAGATGAATACAGTTATGAAAAATCCATAAGTGTGCATTGTCATGCACACAAATTAAAGTTTATCTAGAGAGTTATCTTAAACAATGCAACTCCAGATGATAAAGTATAAGGGTTTAGTTGGAGGTAGTGGTTGAAGTCATTGCAGTTGGGTATACTGAAGAAATCCAAAATGTCATGGGGGAATGGTTAGGTGATGAGGGATAACTTGGGAGTGCTGGATTCAGTGTGGTTACTGAAGAATGCAGAGATTAACCTGATGATCTCTTGGGATAGTGGAGAGAATTTGGTAGAGGTAGGGTGACAGGAAATGTGATGTCACCACTCCTGCTGATGGTGTTAAGGCTAGGGAAGAATGGCCTACTATGATGTATGGCCCCCAATTCTCCTAATTCTGCTGAGGCCATGTCAAAGCTTGGGAGGAAGGACAGTCTCTTTAAGACACAAGGAGCTTAGGGAGTTTCCTTTTATCCTGTCAAAGCTGATACCATGGAAGGGGTTTCATTTAGCAGAGTCCACACCCTTTCTATTGTCTCATACCTGCCTCCTTCAAACATCTTCATTATTTGCCTAGTCCCTGATACATTAGAGTTTAAAACAAAATATAGTCATCCCCTTGGAGTTGGCAGAAAGAATACAAGACTGATACCTTTCTCAAAACACCACATTATAACCAAACTAGAGGCTCGGTGCACAGATTTGTGCACTGGGGCCCGCTGTGGGAGTGCAGTTCATCCCAGTCAGCCAAGTGGCTGTGGACCCGCCCTCTGAGCAGCTGCTCCCGCTGTGGGGGCACACTGACCACCAGGGGGCAGCTCCTGCGTTGAGCAACTGGTTGACCAGTCATTCTGGTCATCCGCCATTCAGTTGCTAGGCTTTATATTATAGATAAGGTCACAGGATAATATCTGATTTAAAAGATAATATCAGATTTAACCACCCTCGAGGCTGGCTAGCAGGAGTCTCCCAAGTCTGAACCATCTACTTGCTGTCTACCTTTTCATTCTAGAAAAATATCAAACAAAAGCACTATCTCAAAGTAAAATGAACAGTGCTTAAAACAAGCCTAAAGCGTTAAAAAATGTACACTCATTGTTTTGACACTTCACTTGTACAATCTGTATAAAAAGGAAGCACGCTTACCTATAATTCCCCATATGTCGATTTTCATGTTGTTCTTTAGAGACCTGCTTTCGCACTTGAACAAGTCTCTCTTTCTAGAAATACAAAAATTTGACAAATAAAACCTGGCAAATGAATTATGCAATTCAAAACATGGGTGTGTTAAAATAGTCATACCAACTCCTCTTTCCGCCTCTCCAGCTGATGCCTCTGCTGCTCCCAGTCTGAGGAACCTGGCAAGAGCCTTTTGATTGAATTCTGACCATAAAGCCTCCTTTGAGCCTCAGCTTTTTGTTTGGCCAAGTTTTTCCTTTTATCGCTGGTCCTAAAATATAAAACACAAGATCCTATTCTAGAATTCCAATTCTGATTTTATCCCAGTGAGGAGAAGGAGCAGAAAAGGAGACACAGTGACAATAGGAATCAATGTTTATTAAATTATATATTCACATACGTTATATTCATCTAATCAGCATCAAATAAGGGTCTCCCTATTGTAAATAGAAGCTCTGAAGGTAACAAAATAAAATGAAAACAGTATAACGATGTACTAGCTGTACAATCTCAGGTTAATTACCTGCTGAGTCTATTTCCCCATCTATTAAATACTAACAATAATGTTTCCCTCCTACAGTTCTTATAAAGATCAACTTGTGGTATCAATAATAGGTCCTTAATGAATATTGGATCTTTTCTCTTCCTTCAACAATTCCATTTATATTTAAGTATTCCCTCATTTACACTAACCACTCCTTAGTTTATTTTCAATTCTGACTGAAATCCTAGCCTAACAATCACTATTTCTTTAAAGACTTCTGCATAGTCCTTCTCATTTTTGCCCAATCATGCAAATTTAGTTACAGCTGTCTGATTTCTATAGGAAAAGTCCTGTTGGGAGACTGCTTTCCTCTGAAATCGTTCCTCTCCCTTCCCTCCCACGTAGCAGGTGCAATCCGTGGAGAGTACCTGTTTGAGTACAGACTTTCAGTTTTGCACAACGAAAAAATCCTGGAGATGGATGTTGGTGATGGTTGCACCACACTGTACACGTACTTAATGCCACTGAATTGCATACTTAAAAATGGTTAAGATAGTAATTTTTATGTTAAGTATATTTTACCCACCCCCCAAAAAATTTAATGAGTTGATATTCACCAGAGGAACAAAGATAAACGTACATTTAAATGAGAATATGTGCAAAAACCATGAACATGTGGCATAGCACCACACATGCGTTCTTAGAAAAATTGATTCCAAGGCAGAGGAAAAGAACAAAAAGTGATCATATTGATGAGAGATGCAAAGACCAGATCAAACACTGTTTTGTATACAATCTAAAGATCAAAACTGCTTTGATGCAATGTTTAAACCTCATCTGATAGAGTAGAAACACGTGATCAGAATATCAGAGTTTATAAATATCTTTTCAAATGTTGGCATTCCTCGCTGGCCTGCTGTGGCTCAGTGGTTGAGTGTCAACTCATGCACCAAGAGGTCACCGGTTCTATTTCCGGTCAGGACACATGCCCATGATTGTGGGCTGGATCCCCAGCAGGAGGCGTTGATGTTTCTCTTTCATTGATGTTTCTATCTCTCTCTCCCTCTCCCTCCCTCTCTCCCTAAAGACATTTTTTTAATGTTGGCATTCCTCAGGACTCTGCCAGGCCCCCCTTTACTTCTCAATATGTACACTCTATGTGCTTTCATCCATTAGACAGCAATCTGTACATGGCTGTCAAATAGACATCTCTATCTCCCGGGGCACTGTATATCAGATTTCCCAGTTAACAATTCTGCCTGGGGTCACAGAGAACCTCAAATTAGCATGTTTAAAACTGAACTATCTCTCTCTACCTTCCCCCATCACTCCTCTAAATCTGTTTCTCACCTAAAATTTTTATCTAAATCAATACTGTATTGTCAAATAAGCTGTCTAAGCCAGAAACTCAGGAATCATGGGACACACTGAATTCCTAGTCCCTACTGCAGTAAGTAGTTAACACTTGTCAAATGACCTGCAGAGCAACAGAGTGGAGGCTGGAAGATGGGGTGGGGGTTAACACTGGAAGAAGGAAGAAAGCCAGTAAAATAATCCAGGAGAGAAATGAGAAGTCATTAAACTTAGTGAGACTACAAAATTAAATGGTAGTCATACATTGTACAGGATTCAGTTGATTCATAATAAAGGAAGGAACTAATGATAACTCCCAGCTTTGTAGCCTGAACAGTTATATGGATGGTTTTACAATTAACTAGCAAAGCAAAGCAAGACACAAAACTAGGTTTGAGTGATTATCATTGTAAGTACTTTCCTATGAGCATATGGTTTCCCTTTTAATAACTGAGCCACTTAAAGAGAGAAAATTTTACTCATTTTTCTATCTCCATCTTCTAGTACAATATAAGCTAAGAATGTACATTAAATATATGAAAAGGTTTTTCTTTTGTGGGTTGGAGGTAATTGACATCATTAGTAGAAGAAAAGAGAGAAACCCAGTAAGGAAGGAGAAGATAATTCAACTTCTGGTCATATTGAATTTAAAGTGTCATCAGGACATTCACCCATTCATTTACTTACTTACTTACTTACTAGTTCACTCACTCATTACAAATTAACTGAGCCCCTATTAGACCAGAAACATCAAGTGTAAATGCTCAACAGAGATCTGCAAATGCAAGAACAGAGCCCAAGAGTGGACAGAGCTGTTAAGAGGAACCCTAATCTGTACCTCAATACAGGTGTAGACCTAGGACTCCAGTGTCTGACTCACAAAAGATGCTACAAAAATGAATGAGACTGACACAGAGGAAAAGAGGGCTGAGGCAAGAATGCAGTGAAAAAATGACAAGTAGGGGGAAGTGAAATCATAGAAGACAGAGAAATGCTAAAAGTTAAGTGAATTCAGAAAATAGATTGTCAAAGAGGCCAGTGACAATCAATTTTCAAGGGCAGAGTAGCATGAATTGCTGCATACACCATATACATGTAGCCTGTGAACTAGTCCTAAATAAGGGTCAGATAATCTAATGTAAGCTAATCCAATCTAAACTAAACTAATAAACAGTACAGTATTTCAGACTCACAGAACTCATGAGACTGTAAATATCTTTTGTAGACTCAATTTTAATGATTCTAATACAATACTTATGGAGGAAAAATGATTCTTCTTATCAACACACCAACATCCCCAATAAACAAGATTGCCTTTTCCTTTTATTACTGAAAAAGCACCTTTTTTACTTATTACTATTTTACTATTTACCTTTACTTATTCTTCTTTCACTTGTTCTGCATATAGCCCCTTTTGTACCCTCTTGTCTCTGAAGACCCCACACCAAGTGTTTCAGAAAATTATCTGAATCTGAACTCAAATTACATTGTGCCATCCAAGTACAAAGGGGCTCAATTCTGACCCCTCAATATGAGGTTCGGTATTCTCAGGGGCTGTGATATATACTCTGAGCTATATACCAGTACACGATTTTGGATTTTCTTGGGACTGAAAGTATCCATTTACACTATGAATTTTGGGGTACATATGGAGCCATACTATAAGTAAAGCATCATACTAAGAATTGTGTTCTGGCAGGCATGGGCTCAGTGGTTGAGCATCAACCTATGAACCAGGAGGTCATGGTTCAATGCCCAGTCAGGGCACATGCCGGGGTTATGGCTTGATCCCTAGTGTGGGGCATGCAGGAGGCAGCCAATCAATGATTCTCTCTCATCATTGATGTTTCTATCTCTCTCCCCCTCTCCGTTCCTAGCTAAAATAAATTATATATATATATATATATATATATATATATATATATATATATATTAAAAGAATTGTGTAGAATAGTAAAGTATATGCTCCTTGACTTCAAGGAGCTTAGATCAAATTGAAAGGAAAAAATCTGCCATGCCCAAGTGAAAAAGCACAGAGCATAAAAGAGTAAACAAAGCAATAAGACATGTCCTATGCAGACTCTAATTCCTCCTGAAGTTCAAAGAAAGAAAAGATTAACTTGTGCTAATACACCATAATAAAAGACAGAATTTGAGTCATAGGCAGTAAGGAAAGGCATTCAGGATAAGGAACAGAATAAATCATCAATGAGAATAGGCTACACATGTGAGAAAAACCCTATATAATAAAACCCTAATATGCAAATCGACCGAACGATGGAACGACCGGTTGCTATGATGTGCATTGACCACTAGGGGGCAGACGCTCAATGCCAGAACTGACCCCTGGTGGTCAGTGCACTCCTATAAGGGGAGCACTGCACAGCTGGAAGCCATACGGCTGGTGAGCACAGCGGCGGTGGTGGGACCCTCTCCCACCTACAAGGCAGCGCTAAAGACCCCTCAGCAGACATCCCCCGAGGGGTCCCGGACTGGGAGAGGGAGCAGGCCGGGCTGAGGGACCCCTTCCCGCCAAGTTCACAAATGTCATGCACCAGGCCTCTAGTAATGTGATAATCAATCTAACTAAAACAGTTTTGGTTGGAGAGAAATAGGAAATAAGATGAAAAAGCTAAGATTAAGTTATATTATGAAAGGAACTTAGATTAAGTGTTGGCAATAGAAATCCAATTAGGTTCTTGAGCAGAAACATAACACAATAAAAAAGATCATCGTGATAGTCTGATTAAAATAAATATAAATAGGGAATCACAGAACAATTTGTTCTATCCAAAAGTAAAATAGTCCATAGAAAAATTAATCCAATAATATTTAATAAATAGGCAAGAATTTTCCTAGTGTTCTCAGCTCCTGCTTATGTTTCCATGATGTGCCCATTGCATACCTTGCCACAGTGAAATACAAGTCTAACACATATGCCCATGGAGCCCTCCATCTGGCTGGAGAGAAAAGGCACAGCTGCAACCTAAGCTTCATTAGCATAAGCTCTAAATGGTATAAATTTTGCTAAATTCTCTTAGTGGAACAACACTAAGAAAATTAAGAAAGATGAAGTCCAATTCTCCCTTCATTTTAAGCCTAGAAATGTCTCACTGTTTCAATGTATATATCTCACTTTTAAGAAGACCAAAAACACCCATGGGTGGCAAGTCAAAAGACATGCCAGAAAGAAAAAGAAAATTCAAGGCCTACTTATACAGTAATAGTAAATGCAAAAAAAAAAAAAAGTATAGGCATATTGCTTAAGTAATCCAAAATAATGATACACTGTGTAAGCTAAATAAATAAAAATTTATTTTTTCTTTTCATTTCTTTTAACATAATTGAGATATCAGTAGAATTTAGGCAAATCATTCTTTAATCTGGCAAAAGGAGGAGTCATATGAACATTTTTGAACAAATTTATATGTTTATCTCTTTTTCTAATGATGCTTTCCATGAAAGGTACTTTTCAATCAGGCAACTGCTAAATGCTTGGAAACATTTAACATAAACAATTTCATGGAAACATCCCACAGCTTCTTTAGAGCTCTTAAAATGACAAGTGGAATCAATTGAAATCATAAAATCTCTAAGATCAAAAAACCTTAGAGGTCCTTTAACCCAACACCCTAAATGCTGTTTCAACACTTATAATTGCAAACATTTCATTACTTCTTTGAGAAGTTCAGTTAAACTTCTAAAATATTTATTTCATTGTGAGCCAAAAGCTTTCCCATATAATAGTGTTATGAATATTTGACATCCATGATCATATACACTGCAACCAGCAACCCTTCTTCTGGGTATATATCCAAAGGAGTTGAAATTAGAATTCATATAAATATTTGCACTCCCGTATATATTGCAGCATTAGTCACAATATCCAAGACAAAAGCAACCTAAATGCCCACCAGTGGATGAATGCATAATGAAAATATGGTGCATAATACAACAGAGTATTATTCATCCTTAAAAAAAAGGGGGGGATCGCACTGATGCTTTTCAATGGGAAGGTTAAGCCTCACTTAACAACTGCCTCTCTTTTCTGTTTACCCAGGTAACAAGATATATTGGGAAGACCTCTGGAGAGAAAGGCAGAAAATCCATGTTTGAGATTTTTTACTTTCTGAATGACCTCTCTGTTTTAGTTTTTTCTAAGGTGAGGAGATAATCTGGAGCGTTTCCTAAGGCAGTCTCCAATTCAACCTCATATTCTATATTACTAAACTAGAGGCCCGGTGCACGAAATTTTGTGTGTGTGTGTGGGGGGGGGGGGGGGGGAGCGTTCCCTCAGCACGGCTTGAGTCCTCTCGCAGTCCGGGATGCCTCGGTGGACATCCCTCTCACAGTCCAGGACCCCTCGCTTCTTACTGCCTGCCTGCTCGCTGCTCCTTACTGCTTGGCTTGCTGCTCCTTAGCTGCTCTTTAGTGAGTGCACTGACCACCAGGGGGCAGCTCCTGAGTTGAGTGTCTGCCCCCTGGTGATCAGTGCACATCATAGCAACTGGTCATTCCACTGTTTGGTCAATTTGCATATTGGGCTTTTATTATATAGGATAAGTATAGCAATACTCTAACTTAACCATATTTTTTACTGTAGGTTCAGAGCCTTAAATGAGGAGAAGGAAAAACTGTGTGTTAGAGGAGAGGAAAAGACATTCGAAAAAAATAAATGGAATTGAGTAATTCAAAATATAAAACACAAAAAAATTCAAGCCAATTCCATGTACAAATGAATGTTCTATGTCAGATGTGGCGAAAATTTTCCAAAAAATGGAGGAAATACTTTACCTGATGTTGAGGAGCTTCAGTGCATTTAGCAGCACTCCCCTTTTTACATCATAGTCTATTTTCTGATCAGTCCCAAAGCTCGGAGCTCTGTTGATCTAAAATTTACAAAGAAAACAATGAGAGTAAGCAAATGTGGGTAGGCCAAAAAATACAAGGTGTTCCCCCAAAAATTGTATACACACTTTAAAAGCTGATAGCTCAATTTTGAAAATGAAGTGAATTTTAATAAACACTGCCTTTATAATTATTCAAAATGTGTGTATATATTGGGATGCCCTGTATTCAATACATATTTGTTAATCAAATGTGGGATCCCCAACCAGTAGAAGGACTCTACAATAAACCTCAAAGCTCTGCTTGGCAATGGACCGGTTACTATTGCCAAGCCTCCCTTCCCCATCACCCTAAGCCAGGGCGTAAGGAATTATCACCACCCCTTTCCCCCTGCTGTCTTGGCTCAGGATGTTCGGTCAGCGTATCTGCCCTCCCCCTCTTTTCTACTCTCTTTAACCAAATTACCCCAAGCACTCTGAGTTTTAACTTCAGAGAAGTAAAAGTGACTCATCCTTCCATTACTAACTAAAAAATAAATTTTGCTTCTTCCTACCTGAATCAGACAAGATTCATCAATTTTCATTTCCAAAGACACTGACTACATATTACTCAGAAGATACCATTAAGGGCAACTGCAGACTAACCTCCATGAACTTTCTAAGTATACAAGGACTCGTAGGAATAAATGAGCCATGTGTGGTTGTGATGTCATTTCCAACATCATTGCCAGAATTTCATTAGACAAAAAGCAAAAAATAACTCTATGTACCCAGAAATCCATTAGACAATATACTACCACTTTGGCAGCTGGAGTTTTGTTTTTGTTGTTGTTATGAAAATGTAACTGGAACAGCAGGTGTTTAAGAAAATTAAACACTGCTGTGTTCACAACTGTAGCTTAGCTTCATGACCACCAGATAACCCCACAGGCTATCTAAAAACATATGCTACGGGTCATAGACAAGGGCTGTCTAATACAAATCTATCACCACAAGAGATAAGATAGTTGATGACATGCATTTTACAATTGGCAGCTGAATGAAAAAACACATTAAACTTAAGAAATCATTCAGAAGTACAAATGCCTCTAATTAGGAATGTGGCATGGGATCACTGCAGAAAAATTAGTAAATAGAAGCTAAATAAAAGACAGAAAGATCACCTGTAGCCTGACTACCTAGTGTATTGTTAATCATTTAATAAATGGTATTCCAGATATTTGCTATGCATATTTATAATATTCATTTTACCTTCCCAATAAATGTCTATATTTAATTATACTATTTTATAATCCAAGTTTTCCTTTTAACAATGTATCATGAAAATCTTCCATGTCAACATTTTGACAGATGCATGAAAGTCCTTTTATAGAAATACCAGAGGCCCAATGCACAAAATTCATTCAAGAGTAAGCCTTCCTTCCCCCGGTTGCCGGCACCGGCTTCCCTCTGGCACCTGGGACCCAGGCTTCCCTCTGGGTGCCAGTAGGCACTTGGGACCTGGGCTTCCCTCACAGCCCCAGCTTCGTCCAGAAGGTCGTCCAGAAGGATATCCAGAAGGACGTTTGGCCTAATTAGCATATTATGCTTTTATTATTATAGATGCCAAACTGTATTTTTCCTTTCATAATTTCTGATTCAGAAGGTGATTAACATATTCCCGCCTGTGTGCTGTGCTCTTAGGGAAGGGAGTAGCTTGGTAATTGCAAGAACATCCATTTACTCAAGTGTTGTTCAAGTGTTATCTCTTAAAAGTGCAGAGAAAGGATAATGTCTTTTATATGAAAAATGTTTCAACCATTCCATAGTGACTCAAATCTCTAGAATTTGTAATACAATGATAGTTCTGCTATTACATGTAAGTAACAAATTATAAAATTAACCAAATATTTAGGAACTGACAATTATTAATTGGTTCACTGAAATGTTATCTTTATAGAATCCCTTAGGTGCTCCATTCTAAAACTGCAGTCTGGAATTCTGCCAGGCATATCCCTTCTGAAGAATGGTAATTTGGGAAAATACAAACTCAAACCCCTCTCTCATATCTATTTCAAAGTCTTCCTCCTGCTATCACATAAAAGAAACTGGTTGATGAAGAAATGTAACCAATTTTTAAACTAATACATGAAAAAGTTAAAAAAAACACCTTTTGTTCAATTAATGTCTTGGATTTTTAAAAATGTTATGAGAGTGGTACAAAAAAAATATGAGAACCACAAATGGCTCACAGAAGAAACTCTGAAAATTGGGTTTCATACAGCCAAAATTCTACTCTGTAATGTTGATGGCTTCTCTAGTTTTCACTGCCTAAATTCTAAAACAGACAAAACCTAGCCAATGTTATAGACTTAAAATTCAGCAGCTTGTAAAAGGATGCGAAAATGAAAATTATTAGAAAGCAAATTAAATTAGCATTATTTATTAACTGTCCAAATTACAGTTGTATTATCAAAACAAACACAATCATTTCATGCACATATAAAAGTATCCAGAATAGATTCTGTGCTCCTAAATTAGTGCTCTTCCCTCTGTCCAGTAACTTCTCCCCACCCCACCCCCATTTCTCCAAACCCCAACCCCTATCCCACCTTCTAAATACCGTGGTCAGGTGTTCCCTCTTCTGCAAAGATTGTTTTAACTCTCAAATACACACATGAACACAGAGAGGTTAGTCAGTTTATTATTTGTGCTGGCACCCTGCTTCCTACTTATACCTACAACCATTACCATAAAACACTCATCTGAGTCCCCACAAGTGTTTGGTTTTATTCTTCTTGTATCTCTACCACCTGGCACAATGACTTATTGAAATTAATTCAAGGCCCTGCTGGCATGACTCAGTGGTTGAGCATCGATCTATGAACCAGGAAGTCACGGTTTAATTCCCATCAGGGCACATGCCTGGGTTACAGGCTCGATCCCCAGTGTGGGGCGTGCAGGAGGCAGCTGAAACTTTGATATTTCTCTCTCTCTCCCTCTCCCTCCTTCTTTAAAATCAATTAAAAATATTTTTTTAAAGAGAAATTAATTCAAGGATACTTAAAGTATGAGTATTCATATCCTTCCAAATTCCATGATTTCCCTAAAAATGTTTTCTATGCTTGAAAATTTCTGCAATTTGCCTCTACAAATCATTACTGGAAATCATTCCAGTGAACTATAAGTTATTGCATTCTCAGAAGCACCTTCTCCATTGCTCCACTGGATGGCGCCAAAAGGTTTTTAACTACGTATTAGAACCATTACCATTGCAGCTGAAAATACAAAGAAACAAAACCATTACATAAGGTTTTCACTGTTTTAATATAATTAAATGTTCATTCTCCACAACTTTTAGTTGTGTTTTTTTTTCTTCGAGTTTTTTAATGGTTCTGATTGATCCAGAAATGATGAAAAAAATGAATAGAAAATGAAACTATGTTAATGCAAACAATAGTATTTAGCCATTGGTTATTGTGGAATTTTGTAATGTTATTATTTTCCTAAAAATGAAGGACAAAATGAAGTAGAAGAAACATTAATGCAAACAATGGTATTTTGAGCCTTAAAAACAAAACAAGACAAAATTCAACCATTCAGTCAATTCTGGTTTACCCAGCTAAGTTCCAATTAGGCCACTGCTTTTAAAAACTGTAAATGTCTGTAAAGTCATTCGTCCCTGTTCTTCTTGCAGTTCTACCTCCTGCATGTGCCTTCACTTCTTCCCCACCCATCAAGGATAAAAGACAAGTATCAGGGGTAGAAAAAAATACAGCTGAGAGCAGGAAAGGGTGACTGCAGACCAAACAATAACCCTAGACAATGTCAGGTCTCAGTACACTAGACATGGTGCAGCCAAGTGCTTTGATATCCAATGGAGGGAGCTAAAGGATAAGCAACATTCCTCATATTCATCTTATTTCTAGGGCCCGAGCAGGAGCAAAATGTGAACACCTGACAAACTGTAATTGGAAATATACATATTACTTACTCATAGTACATTCAATACACACAGGAAACCATCGGCCCTGTGGTTTGGAAAAGTATTCTTCCCGAAGAATATATTTTGAATGTATTCACCTATCACTCATTCAATTTACTTTTGCAAGCCTTGATATTAAAGATGTAATTGCAAACTTCTAAATCATTAACAAAAAAGATAATCCAACTTAAAATGAAAGGTAATTGCTGCTGATATAGGAATATATTCCTCAAAAATATAACTAATCTTGTAAGCACTAAGTGTTTGGAAACGTGCTGTTTTCCTGATAAAGTTTCCTACATACAGTACTTTGTGACCATACACCCTGTGACCTAAGGTTTCTTCTGGATATATTATAAATTAATTAATACTGGAAGGAAAGGTACAAAAAAATCTTTAAAAGAGATCATTTTTACGTTTTCCTGTATATTTCTCTGTATTTTCCAGATGTTAAGTGACCTTTTATAAATAAAAGGAATGACAACTCTGCCCATAGCAGGGACGGGCAGCAAATCCAAAGGCACGCAGCTGAGGGGCTGGACTTGAGGGGAGGCCCAGGCATGTGACTTGGCCATAAAGGCACATTCAAGCCACCTGGGTGTCAGGATTAATGAACCCACTGGAGTGTCTCTCTTTGAGAGCATGAAGGGAGACACACTGAGGACAGAGAGGCTGTGGTCCTGAGGCCCAGGAGCCCACATAGAGAGAGGAAAGACAGCACCCACATGTCATGAAGTGGTAGGAGCCCTGAGGCTGAGAAAATATTGGAGGAAGTAGATAAAAAATCAGTAAAAGTAGATCCACACATATATTCAAAATTCCTGGCCTAGAAATTGATACTAATTTGGGAAAAGTAATATCAAACACATATCGATCCTTCTTAGAACTGTTCTGTTCCATGAATTTTCATTCTCTTCCTCCCACACACTCCATTCAGGCCTCTTTCTGCTCAGTCAATGAGACAACGGTGCCAAGTACACATTTAAAAACATTTGTTTTAATGCACAGTGATAACATCTCTTCTTAAAAACGCCTTACCTCCAGAAGCCACGGCTTTAGCTTTCTGTCCAACAAAATATCAAATCCCAGGACTTCGAAGCAGACACTTTCACTCCCCGGAGGCTGCCCAGGTCTGCACATCCGATAAGCATGCAGGACATGAGGCTCTGCCACAATCAGAGTCTTAACCACCAGCTCCTACAAGGACAGATTTTCAAAAGGTGAAAATGCCTTATTTCTTTCTCATTTACACACGTGGCAATAAGGCCTGGACTTACAAACTAGCCCTGGGGCAGCCAGCCCCACCACTGCCCTGACTTCCCTCCATCCAACTCTTCCCGGACCCGCTAAGCTCCCGCCATGCTTGTCTCCTCTGGGATCATCTCAGTAACTGTTCCCTCTTCTTGGGACACTCTTCTCCTCCTATGCCTATGTCTGCATCCTTGATATTCAGAGAGGCCGTCCCTGACCCTGGGGTCAAAACCGCCACCCATCAGCCCTTACTGCATAACTTTGCAGCACGGAACCAGCCGAACTTCTCCTTGTTTTGTTAGAGCAGGGTCCTTGTGTGTCTGATTTACAACCCCATTCCAGTGCCTACCATAGTACCTCACATATAGGAGATGCTCAAAAACATCTGTGAACAAATGAGTAACCTAATTCACAAACGACGTTATAGAATGTCCACTTGGACATCGGCTGGAAAGAGCGAGGGGAGAATCCCAGAGAGCTGGGTTTCTTCGTGCAGTGAGGCAATACTGCCACGAGGTGAGCTGGCTGGCATCATTTTCTGTGAGGACACAGAATATGACGGGGCTGAGTTACTGATGCCAATAAAGCAAAAAGTTGTTTTAACTGAAGTTGGAGAACAAGCTATGGATTGTTGAAAAGCTGCCCCACTGGTTTTTGCTCAGAATATATTGCCTTTGGAACTGCCTCTCTACAGGTACTGCTGCCAAATGTAAACTGGCAATAGTAATAACACCTGCTGCAAAAAGACTGACGAAGGGACAAAATGAGACTCCACGTGAAACTCGCAGTGTAGCGACCAGAGCACATTGAACCTGAACTAAGTGTTAGCAACTTAACTCAACTACTGTTACCATTATTCTATTATTCCACTAGAAGTCCATCTCATATGTCAGGTCAGACACAAAATCCCACTACCTGCTGGGCGCAATATTTAACCATATGGGAGAAAAATGGAAAGCAGAAATTAACCTCACTGATACCCAGAATCTCAACCCCGATGCTATCTGGAAGTAAGGGTCAGAGATGCCATGAGGTTGTTCTCAGAAAATTTTATTCAAAATAACAAATTAAAGGTAACACCAAAGAATTTAAAGATGAAAGACAAAAAGCACTCCATATAAATCTTTGGAGATATTACTAAAACAACTGGAGAGTACCAAAAAAAGTTAAAACCTTGGCTAATAAGTGTCTGTGTAGAACAAGACAGTGAGGGGAATTAATAGACCCTGATTACCGATCTCTGTTTTTTTCTACATAAAAAACAACACATTTTTAGAAATATAAAGGCAAGCTTGCAGGTATATGTGAAACCAGGAGTGATATAATCAAGCAAAAATCAAATTTCACCAATTCTTTTCCAAGTATCATTGCTTTGAAATATGATTTGTAGATTTGTACACAAAATATACAAAAAGGCATTCAGTAAAAATGGTTTTATAAATGATTACAATCATTTTTAATCTCTATGGCCTGATTTTCTGTTGATTTTCTATTCATTCTTGTTAAGCACAAAAACACACATCTCTGTGCTTCATGGAAGGTATTGCTAGTTTTTAGATATATGCAGTTACTTTTTTAAAAAATTACCCCCAAAAAAGAGATCATTAAAAAAAGCCTCCTAAGTTAAATTCATAAAATTTGTAAACTATTAACATTATGATAAAAATCTACTACATTTGCCTTTTCTACCTCCTCCTATCGTTCTCTTTTTACAATATAGTATTTTGTTGATTCACCTTAAACAGAGAGATCTTTACAAATTATATGTAATTCTGAATAAAGACAAAATTTTAAATAACTAAATAAATGCAGACAATCTAACAAGATAAATGTAAGAAATGTACTTGGAAAAGTTAATAATTTAATAAGTTATTAATTTATTTAAATTATTATATAAATTTATTAATTTATTAAGTAATTGATTACTTATAGATTATTAATATACATTCTAACTAAGGTAGGCAAAAGTGATGCAAAATTTAGCCATTCATGGAAGAGATCATGAATGTGTCAGACCTTAATAGACTCACATTGGTGATGTTTAGGTCATATCCTGAAAGTTATACTTTAGGCTATAACAGAAAAGTTAATTGCCTAACCTATGAATATTAGTCTTACTTCTATACCTTCTCCCAATTTAATCATGTGGAAAAAGTACCACTTATAAGCTCATGATACTCACTTTTCTCTGATTCTCTCTATACATACTTCACCAAGGCAGCCCAACAGGTGCCACCTTTTCACAAAGACATTCCCATATGGACATGAAATATTTGGTAAAGAAAAAAGAATATTGGAGAGTATATAACATGTCCTTGGTCTAATCATCAAATAACCTACTCATTAAATCGTCCAGGCAATATCATGTACCATATGATCTTCCATCAAAAAGCAACTGCCCCAACATAAATTTCTCAACTCTGAGTCTTCTAATCCACTATGATAGTAAATCTATCATTAGAACATTTTTTGGAATTTCCACAGAATTGGCCTTGCTAAAATAAATAAGTAAAAAACATAGAATTATTGTAATCAAATTTTTGTTTAGAGGTATGTAGTTTCTCAGGAAGATATAATAGAAAGTAAACAAGTTGGTAGGCATCTAACCAAATCTAGATGACAAACATTTTTCATGAGTCCTACATTTTTAAAACTTTTGAATGGATTGTCAATGTTTACAAATCTGGGGATTTACAGCTTCTATTGACAAATTAGGAGATGAACCACCCTGGGCCCAAAATATCATGTGCACCAATAGAATAGTGCTGAGTGGTATCTATGTCCTTCAGACCTCTTTCTTATGCTCTTCAAATTAGCACAGTTCCCAGCACACCCTAATTGATTCTATGCAAACGTCACTCTTTTTCACTTGTCTGACATCTAAGAATCTTTGGATTTATGTCCTGTGACATAAAATATAAGGAGTAACAAACATCAACCAACAACCAACCAAAGATAAATATAATGATGCTTATTTTTCTCTCTGATTTTCTCAACTGAACCAAGTTCAACTACCTATGAACTTTCATGTCCATTGCCATTACAGATTTATTTAAATTATATATTATTTGTCCCCAAAGAAAAGCCAAATCAAATTATATACCCCTTAATCACATTATTCTCAGTAGACACAGTCTTCTAACTTGGAATGCCATTTTATTTAATACTTCTGCTAGAATTAATAAAGGGTCTGTTTCGCCAAAGTTATCTTCTCTTATCTGTTTCCTTGTTTCTCTTTACCTGTACCTTTTGGAATTTCATCCATTGCCATGGCGTTACATATCAATCGCACCACAAACACATTCCTGACTGCCTGATCTTTCTACCTGAGACAGCATTTCAGGTTCAACGCATCTAAAGTAAAATTCATCATCATAGCCTCACGGACTTTTAAAAGCTTAGTTCGGAAGTCAATGCCTCCAAGAAGTCCTCTCTCACCACCCACCCAAAGCTACTGTATGTGGTTTCCTCCACTTCCCACAGAATCCACTGCTGCCTCCTCTGTTGTGCTTGCTACACTGCATTTCAATAGCAATTTTTGTGCTGGTTTTTCCGGCCAAACTAAGTTTTTCAAGAACTGGGGGTGTAACTTATAAACCTTCAAATTATCAGCCAGAGATAGGCTTATATTATGGGTTCAATAAATGTTTACTGGATAAATGAATGAATAAACAAATAAATAAGTAAAACTATTTTCCCTCATCTGTAAAACTAAGTTCTAAATCTTCTCAAAAATAAATTCCTTCCTACTCTATTTCAGATAATGCCAACCTCATTCTCCCTATAATTACTCCTTAAAACTAGAAGAATCACTGAGTACTTCTCTCCCATTCTGAACATTCAATTAATCCCAATATTTACCTCATTGCCACCCCTTTATTTTGTTCAATTTAGGCCTTTCTTTTCACTGAAAGTTCTCCCAAGGCCCTCTTCTACCTACTCTTGGTCTTCACTCTAACCCATCCCACACCCTTTTTCAGATGTACCTTTTTAGTTCATAGTCCTTGACCTTATTATTCTCCTCCCTTAAGCCTTGATTAAGCCTGGACGTTAAGCCTTGATTTTCAGACCTAAAATTTAGCCTCTACATATCTTTTCAGCCATAAGTCTCCATGCATCTCCCACAAATACCAAATGTACCAACCTGGACCACTTAACAGTACTCTCATACCTCTCCACGCTTTTACTTATGTTTTCACCTCCACCTAGAATTCCCTCTCCCATCCCTAGCAGTGAAAATACTACTCATGTATCAAGGTCCATCCCAAATTCTACTTCCTTCATGAAAACATGCCTTATCTGCCCAATTTAATGTAATCTGCTCTTTATTTAAAATGCTTGGCGATCCTTTAATTTAATCTGAGGAAAGACAGTCATAATTGTGGAAGAGTATACTCTTACTGAAATGTCACTCCAAAACTTGGCAACATCATGTTGATTTGCTTGCAGGAATTCCGTAAACCATTTGATGGAGCGTTTGCTGCCCTTGTTTTCCGTCTCGTCCCTTTCGAAACGCTCATTGTGCTTGTTCACAGAGTAGTTTGTCAGGTGCATGTATAACTGGGTCTGTAACAAGTAAGAACCAAAGGTATCACCTATGAGACTCTAGAACCGTGAGATTTCACAGAAAAGAAAAGCATCCAAAGATGAAAGATGATTTTAAAGTTTAAAATATACAGATTGACAATTTCACAATTACTTTGAAAATTTCCAAATTAAATGGAATGGCACGTTTCCCTTAACATGACTGTAGTAATCTATATCTGCCACAGAGAGCATTAAAATAATAAGAATCTATAGAGTAATTAAATGAAAATGTAAAATTGTATATTGCTTAGTAAGAGAAATGCTCTTTTGTTCATTTTTTTGTTCGCTTTTTTGGTCACTTACAGTTTGGGGGTGTTTTTTTTTTAATTTTATTGATTTTTTACAGAGAGGAAGGGAGAGGGATAGAGAGCCAGAAACATCGATGAGAGAGAAACATTGATCAGCCGCCTCTTGCACACCTCCCACTGGGGATGTGCCCTCAACCAAGGTACATGCCCCCAACCGGAATCGAACCCGGGACCCTTCAGTCGGCAGGATGACACTCTATCCACTGAGCCAAACCGGTTAGGGCGGTCACTTACAGTTTTTACTCAAATTTGTGTTTAGGAATTTTCTGAGAGAACATTATAAGTCTTTGCAAAGAAACATTAAAAAATGAAAGCTCAAGTAAGTAGCATAAACCAAAAGACAGGACTAGCAAAAACAGCCTCTGCCCCATTCTTATGTGGAGGCCACGGTAACTTGTTAACAAGACAGAGTGCACTCAGAAGACAATGCTGCTCCCCATGCAGTGCTGTAGTGTCTGAATGATCAACAGCACATTTATGATGCTCCATATTAGAGCTGTTTTGTCTTTGCCTCTTAATATCCTTAGGTTTGCTGATAGTGTTTTTCTCAGTGGTGGGGAATGTCCAGGACGCCCGCGGGCCGTATAGGGCTCGTGAAATCATTTGGCCTGGCCCTGCCCAGGCATTAGGGGTGAGCTAATTAAGTGCTTGACTAAATATAGCAGGCTAATTTTTAAGTAGATAATTTTGTATGTCCCATGAATGATGTTATAAATATCCAAATGGCCCTAGGCAGTAAAAAGGTTCCCCACCCCTGTTCTAGACTATAAGAACCTAAGAGGAGGAACTTTCATTCATATAATCTTTAGACACAATGGGTTCTTTAAAAAGTACATGTTGAATCTATGAATCAAATCATAGATTCTGTTTGGTATCACTTACCAAATTGGACTCATTAGGTGGAATGTACTTCTCTGTTCCCATTCGCACAAGTCCATCGTGGTAGAGAAATATTTTTAGTGGATCACATGATGTTACCAGAATGTAAATTCGTAAATCAAACTTGTAGCCTTCCATTAGGAAAGGCTTGTCGATGTATTCTTGAACAATCAAATGATCCTGCGATGGAAGTTTGTCACCATTTCTTATCAAAGAAATCCTAAGTTTAGAAAAAGAATCAAAAGAACCATTTTATATGGAGTCAAGATGTTTGCAAAGTTATAGCTAATACTCAAAAAGAATACGGAGGAATGGATAACTCCAAAATCTGTGCCTTCACAAAAAACAGTGAATTGCAAAAGAATAAAAATAAGAAAGTTGTCAGAATCAACTTTTCTGGAGTTCTGGAAACTAACCAAAAGCTTGTAACAACCAGGGATCATTTAATCAAAAAATAAGTAAAAATAAAATTGAAAAAAAAATCACCACAGCTGAATTTATGTAAAACAGCTTTGTGGCATTTTAACTTACTCTGGTACCAACTCTCTACCCTCAGCTCACCATGGGCTTGAACATCAGCCCATGTTTCCAGTACTGATACTGATTCTAGAGGGAGCAGGATAGATCATATTCTGTTGGTGGCCTTGTTTTTTTAACCTGTGTAGTGGCTCCCTGGAGGACCTCAAAGGGGTTGTTTTTATCTTGCCTAAGTGGAAACTCTTCCCAGGCTGAGGCAGCTACTTAGGGAGGTAATTATGGAGAAGATTTAAAGACATATGTACTAGTCCCTGCTGCCTAACCATTGGAGGAAACAACAGACCTACTAAAAAGATTGGGGGGAAAGACTGAGGAATGAGAATCTTTGAGGAATAAGGTTTTGAAAGCTCAGACATATTTCTAGGACTCCAGAAGGCCATGTCCATGCCCAAAGGTAGGTGCCTGCTCAGGATCCTAAGATCCTAAGCTCTTAGCTCTGGCTAACCAGGGGGCTCTATACAAGTAAGAAGTAAAGGCTGAGCAGAGATATAATTGCCTAGTTGGACACAGAAGGCTTGCTCAAACTTAAACACACACACAATCCATCTGCAAAGACTGGGCAAAATTTTTTGGATGGGGGGGGTTTCCAAATGTTTAAGAAAATCTCTGTCCAATTAGTAGCTCACCACTGACCTAACACAACAAGAATTAGAGTAGCCACACACAACAAAGAATACAGACTTTACAAAATTATTTCAGAAACCCACTGTGCAAATAAGCAGCAACTACAACAAGCATGAACAATAACAACAACAAACCTACTGCCAGTTGATAATTTTGAGTTATCTCAAAGAGATAGAGAAGCTGAATTTCTGAGTTTCTACATTATAGTATTAAAAATGTCAAATTTTTAACAAAAAGATTATGGGTCATGCAAAGGAAAAAAGAAAGTATGACACATACACAGGAATATTATCAATTAACATAAAGTCTCTGAGGAAACCCAGACATTGAGCTTACTGAACAATCAACTATTGAAATCAACTATTTTAAATTTATTCAAAGAGTTAAAGGAAATCATGAAAATGCTATCTCACCAACTTGAGAATATCAATAGAGATAGAAATTATTTTTAAAGGGTAAGGGAGAGAACTCAAACAGAAATTCTGAAGTTGAAAAGTACAATAACAAAACAATAAAAAAATCATTAGAGGTGCTAAACAGAATATTTAGGAATGCAAAAAGAAAGCAAAACTTGAAGATGATCGGTTAAGATTAACTCGTCTAAGGAACAAAAAGAAAATAAAATGAAGAAAAATCAGAGCTTAAAAGTTCACCATCAAGAATATTAGCATACATATTTTTGGAGTCTCAAATAAAGAGGAGAGAGAAAGAGGGGTAAGAAGAATATTTGAAGAATTAATAGCTGAAGATATCTTAATTCCAAGAAAATCAATGAACTCCAAGTAGGACAAACTCAAAGAGATCCACACTGAGACACATAATCAAACTGTCAAAAGCCAAGGCAAAGAGTCTTGAAAGTAGCAAGATTAAAGCTACTCGTCATGTCCGAGGAATCCTCAATAATATAAAAAGCTTATTTCTTATCAGAAACATTGGAGGCCAAAATACAGTGAAATGACATATTCAAAGACCTGACAGAAAAAGAAAAAAAGAACTTTTAACGAAGAATTCTATAGCTGGAAAAACTATGGAAAATTAAAGAAGAAATTAAGACACTCCCAGATAAACAGAAGCTGAGGGAGTTTTTTGCTAGTACACCTGGCCTACTAGAAATGCTAAAGCAAATCCTTCAGGCAAAACAAAAGGATACTAGATAGTAACTCAAATACACACAAAGAAATAAAGATCGCCACTAAAGGTGATTCATGGTAAATATAAAAGTCACTATTAGTATAGTTTAAGTTTGTGACTCCTCATTTTTCCTATATTATTTAAAACACAACTGCATAAAACAATAATTATAAATCTACGTTATTGGATACACAATGAACAGGATGTATTTTGTGACAATAAAAGTGAGCAGAGCTATATAAGATCAGGGTTTTTTGTGTTTTGTTGTTATTGTTTTTTACTATTGAAAGAAAAATGATATTAATCCAAACAAGACTGTTATAAATTGAGATGTTAATTATAATCCCAAAGTAACCATTAAAAAATTAAAAATATAGTTAAATAAATGACAAGGAAATTAAATTGGTACACTAGAAAATTATTTAATATGTAAGAGGGCAGAAATGGAGGAATTAAGGAATGAAAACTATATTTAAGACATAGAAAACAAATAGCAAAATGGTAGAAGTAAATCTTTCCTTATCAATAATGATTTAAGTACAAATAGATTAACTCTCTTATTAAAAAACAAGATTTGGCAGAATGAATTAAAAAAAAAACACGATCCAACTATATTTTGTCTACAGGAGATTCATTTTAGATTCAAAGTCTCAAATAGGTTGAAAGTAAAGAAATGGAAAAGATATTTCATGCAAACAATAACCAAAATAGACTTTCAGATAAAAGTTATTACAAAAGACAAACAGTACATAGTGATTTTTTAAAGGCAATGCATCAAGAAGACATAATAATTATAAACATATATGCACCTACCAGCAGAGCTCCAAAATATATGAAGCAAAAACTGATAGAACTCAAAGAAGATGTAGATAGTTCAACAATTTACAACTGGAGTCTTCAACACCCCACTTTCAGCAATGGAGAGGACAATCAAACAATAGATCAGCAAGGAAATGGATATCCTCCACAGATGGCAGAGGTGTCCTTTACCTACTCACTGCATTACAGTGTGCTTTTTCAGCTATTTTTTATACTGTTGTCAAATCTGATTAATATTTCTGTATAATGTTTTACCACTAAGTGTATATCTATTATTTTTAACATTAAAATGTTTTACCATTATGTATATATATATTATTTTTAACATTATTTTTAACATTAAAATTGAGAAAAAATGTGAACTCCAATTATACCCACAAATTTTTTTCTTTGAGACTAACATAGAGCACCAACTTTACATTAAACAATTAACATAAAATCCCCACTAGTATTACATGTTTATTTTTTGAACTAGTAAACCACAGTTAAAAATAATGTCTGATTAGATTGTGATTGAAAATTAAAGGGAAATGTGTTGAATAGCTACAATTCCAAAAACCTTTATTCCCCAAAGCATTTAAAACAAAAGATTAAAATGACTCATGAGTTTTTATTAAAAGCAGACTCAGTTACATTTTTTTAAAAGTACATTGCAGAAAACTGACATAAGAAATCAAAAGGAAAGAAATATGAGTTATATAATCTATTCTCAGCTAGCATGTCTACTTCTTGGTATTTTAGTTTAATGTGTTCTACTTATTTTCAATCCAATCACCATGGGTACAGAGATAAAAATGAGCAAAACAGAGACAGACTCATAGCTGGAGAGCAGGCTGACAGCTGGGAAGGGGGTTTTGGGAGGCTAAAAGGGTGGAGGGTTTGAACATAAAAGAGAAAAAAGCTCATGGACATGGATAACAGTGTGGTGATTGCAGGGGAGAGGAGAGTTGGGAAAGATGGAGAAAGGTATAGGGGGGATAAATGGTGATGGACAGAGACTTGGCCTGAAGTGGTGAACACACAATACAGTGTACAGATAATGAGTTGTTGAATTTTGCACCTGAGACCTGTATAATTTTGTTAATCAGTGTCACCCCAATAAATTTAATAAAAGGAAAAAATGTATTTGTAAAGCAAAGAAGACACATGTAAGAGTAACTCCCTTCTCATTTCTTTCTCCAAGTCAATTTAGCTCTGTGGTATCCAAGATTACTCTAAAATTATTATAAATGCAAATTTTGTTTAAAAAATAGAAAACATCTTTTTTCCTTATTTGGTTGTCTCCTATTAAAGTCTTCCAATCTGTTTATTTGATTTTTAAATTTAATTACTGAAGCCTGTAGGACAGAATGAAAGGACTCATTAAATATTTAGTTCCAAAAACAGCAATGGGTAGAATCCTATTTTATCATATTTTTCATATTCGTACTCAACCATGAGTGAATACTCACATTTATTCCCCGACCCTCCAACTATACACACACACACACACACACACACACACACATACACACACTAAAGGTCCAGTGCACAAATTCGTGCACAGGTGGGGTCTTGCTGGCTGCAGGGAGGGGAGGGGACCAGGAGGTTGGCCAACTGGCCCTGCCCCTGATTTGGGGGTGGGGAAGATTGGGGGCAGGGGCCACGGGAGGTTGGCCGGCCACAGTGTGCATCATAGCAATCAGTCTTTCCGGTCGTTCTGGTCACTTGGCTTTTATATATATAGATATACATAATTTACAGGTGAAAAATACCTACCCATGACCCATTGCACCATTAGCTGGTTTTACTATAAAAGTTTTCTGCTTCCTTTTTTTCTTCAATTCTTTCATGTAGTTCTGGAATTGAGTATATTCAGCAGGGAAGATCCATGTTCGAGGAATAAAGGTATAATCCAGAGGCCGGGACTTGATCATTCTGTTAATTAGAAATAGTATAAAAAGTAATTTCTATTCAAACTTTTCTAAATTTTCTTCCTGTGATCCTGACATTTACTACAAGGATTTAAATCTCTCTATTCATCTATTGATTCATTCAGCAGATGTCTATTAAGCATCTACCATGTGCTAGGCACTATTCTAGACACTGGTGATACATCAGTAAAGAAAAATAGACACAGTTCTCTGTCCTACGTACTAATTTACTTATTAGTAAATCAAACATATATTTGAGTACATACTATGTGCCAGGCACTGAGGATATAAGTTAATATGGTTTCTTTTCTAAGAAATTTACATATAGGATATTAATTAAATACAATGTAATAGAGGCAATAAAGGCATATAAAGCAAGATAACATGGAAAAAGTCACTAACTGTTCCTCAAGAATAGGGATTGGCAGTAGGAAATGGCTCCTGGACAGGTGCCCCTTATATTGCTTCTTTAAAGATGATTTTGAGTTCTCTGGGTCACCTATAGGGAGCAGTTTTGATTGCCTTTTATTCTGTTGGTTTTTGGAGTTTAATTCCTTTTCTGAGAAAACTATGTGAAGCCTTTAGTCAGTAGAGGGATTTTTTATATGAACTATATGTGCTTATTCATGTGGTTTCATGGCTACAGTGTATGTCCTAGTATTTTTGTATTTGCTACAAATCAGGCTGCCTATTTGATACACAACTTAAAGATAATACTCAATATCAAATGTTTACTTTTTTGTTGTTTTTAATCCTCGCCTAAGGATACTCTTTCCATTGATTTTTTTTTAGAGAGTGTGGAAGGGAGGAAGAGAAGAGGGGAAGAAGGAAAGTAGAGAGAAACATTGATGTGAGAGAAACACATTGATTGATTGCCTCCTGCATGCACCCCAACAGAGCCATGGACTGAACTTGCAACCCAGGTACATGCCCTTGACTGGGAATCAAACCCACAACTCTTGGGTGCATAGGCTGATGCTCTAACCACTGTGAAACACCGTACAGGGCTAAAGGTTTACTTTTGATGAATCCCAAATGTTAACCATTTTGTATATAATGATTCCCAATAAAAATAAATTGAGAGAAATATTTTAAAATATTATATATTAAAGAAAATCTATTGTTTCAAAAATGTCTTTTTAATAAATATATGCAAGTCTTTTAATAGGTGAGCAAATAATGTAGCAGATATTGTCCCCAAATAAAATTAGTAGAAACTAAAACGAAACCATAGTATATAGTATGCAGAGAGGCAGGACCTAAACACATAAGCCAGTTGGCCTCCACAATTGGAGGGTCATACAGTTACCATATTTCAAGTGTTCTTTCGAGAGAACCCTGTAAGAAAGTTGTTTCTATTATGAAAAAAGGATATAATTACCAACTCCATGTGTCAAGCCCAGAATAAGCCAACAAGCTAAATAATCTTGGTACATTATTTATTGATTTCAGATAGAGGAAAGGAGAGGGAGAGATAGAAACATCAATGATGACAGAGAATCATTGATCGGCTGCCTCCTGCACACACACACCCCTCCCACTGAATGTCGAGCTCACAATCTGGGCATGTGCCCTCACTGGGAATTGAACCATGACTTTAACATTCATGAGTTGATGCTCAACCACTGAGCAACAGCAGCCAAGCTATTTATTATATTTTTAATAATGATATAAAATCAGATCAAGTTAAAGCTTGATTAGAACAATATAGTTTTAAATTAACCATGTAGTATTTATGAATAACATTCTTTCACATATATACTTGGAAAAAATTAAAGCACACAAATATTCAAGATAAATATTTAATTCCTATACACTTTTCAATATCCATCTCAATTTCATTCCTCCAGAAAGCGTTCCCTGCCCACTCAAAAATAATCTCTCCCCCTATCTTGGTCACCACCAGACTTTGACTCTACCTCTAACACAACTGTACTGTATGTGTCGGTTTTCCTCTCTTACTAAAATGTGAGTTCTAGGGAAGGACTAGGCCTTATTTATCATGTTTACCTCACAGTTAACAGTCTCTAGGGGAAAAAATAGACATTCAAAAATATCTGTTGAGTGAATGGATGTATAAACTTTCACTTGGATACAAACAGATATTTTGTTAATTGTACACATAATTTTACTAACCTTTCTCTGTGAAAGATATCTCTTAAAAATTTTCTCAATTTATCACTCAAGTTTCTTAAACTAAAATAATGTAATCAGTAGAGATATAAACTGCATAAAAATTCTACAATTCATTCAGTACTTGAGTACCTGTGAACTGTTTTTCCCATGAAAGCATATTGTTCCTCTAACAGTGGCCTCAGAAATAAATGTATGTGCATGTATATCCCTGGGTGGGCATGTACAGTGTGGGGCAAAAGTAGGTTACAATTGAGGTTTATAATTGTCCATATGGAAAAATACAATAAATAACAATGCAAGAATGAACGGTGTTTCACAAACTCACAACTGTAAACATGTTTGCCCCACCCTGTGTATATGTGGTCTACATGTATGTGCGCGCATACATGCACCTACTACAGTGCCTGGCACATATTAGATGCTCAGTAACCAGTATATGAATACACAGATGCACACACACCATAATACAACATATTAGATCCTGCAAGGTTTAACTGAAAATAAATAAGAACATATTGAATAAACAGTAAAAAGAACCCTGAGATTCTAGAACCCAAGATTCTGCTCTAGTTCTGCTACCAACTATGTGTTGACTTTGTGCAAGATATTTCTGACCCTCAGTTACCTCCTCGGCAAAGTGCAGGAATGGAACCAGAAAACTTTTCAGACCCTCCTAGATCTAAAATTCTCTCTCTTCCATCAAAGTATCATTTTAAATCAATGTACCTTTGTAAAAGATAGCACTCTAATATTCAAAATGTAAATTTATAACAGGTTTATTCTATTATAAGAAAATGAAGATTACTTGGTCATATTTCTTGCTAAGAAATCTTTCCTACAGATCTCCCCCATTCCTGGAAAATGGTTGATCCTCTGGAAAATAAAAAGGTAAATATTAATATCCTCATTGACTTAATGAATATAGTCATTTATACTATAATACAGTTACCACCATCTTTTCATGTTTTAATAAACTGACAATTATTAATGTAAAATATTTAAGTTAAGTGACCTATAATGAATTAAAGAATCTATAGTAATTGATTATATAGAGAATAAAAATTGCACAATTTTAAAGAAATCAAAAAAGGGTGTTTATAATGACATTAAAGTTATAATTTTTGGTGTTGAATAACTGGTAATTAATTGTCTAAATTATCTTTTACATTCTAAATTTACTATAGTCATACAGATAAGCATTGTAGAAAAACTAGTGAAAATGGACTTATTCTTTTTCCTGCAGTAAATTCTGTGTTACCCTCTATACTAATGGAAGAAGAGCTGCATAAAATGTGAACTGTCTAAAATTCCATGCATTTGACTTTTTTAATATGTTTGTATCACATCCTGAAAATAAAAGAATGAAGCCAGATATATAACGGACATGGAACTGCCACGTCATGATCTCGCTAGGCCATTCCACATGACTCATCTTTAAGCATAATGCAAAGCACCAGTTTAATAAAGGTTTTCTTCTATCAATTCTTACTTAAAGATGCAAAGAGGTTAAAAGTTACATCTGAAAGGATGCAGACTTCATGCAAAGTCAGTACTGCACAGCAACACAACAGGCTATTCAGGTGAGATTGTCAACATAGCAAGAACCCTATCTAAAGAAAGCTATGAGGGAATGTATGTAACTTTCCTCATGGCCACTGATGGGCCATGACTAACTCCCCACCTGGTAGTTTTGCAGCTCTGCAATCTTCTCCTGCTGAACTGCGGCGTCACACCATATCAGGTTACTGGTTTCATCCTCGTCTGAAGTTTTCATAAATCCCATTTCATCTATTACTAAACGAACTGCAAGTAAAAGGTTAAGTTAAACCAAAATTAAAATACTTCTGAAACATATCCAATGGGGAGACATATTTTGATATGTATAAATTTTAGCTCAAAGTGTTTTGTTGGCAAAATCTCCATTAGTTATAGCATAACCTTGTTTTGAGGTATAACAATCTATCTAGGGCCAAATTATACTCAGCAGTAACTGAGAACTGTTTTTAGGTTGCACCCAAAATCCTCAGAGATTTAACAGGGACATAACACTGTTAAAGAGCTCAGTGATTATTCACAGCACAAGGAGAACATATGCACAGCTGAGACAACACCTCTATCAGCAAAATGTACTTTCCTGGCTTTTTCATGACCTTGGGCTGGGTACAAAAGGGAAAAGGGAAAAATAGCCCCTGGTCATTAGATCATTAGACCTACTTTCCACCTCCCCTAGTTCCAATTATTTTTAGCAATTAAAACCAAGTCAGCATGTTGACTCAGGATGCAAAATAAAAAAAGAAGAATTCACTGCACAAATTCAGAAACTGACTCTCTCCTATCTGCAAACCCTCTAATCTTACCGAAAAAGAGATCTGTGCTCAGAGGAAACCTTGTTTGTTAGTACAAACTAGTTATGGACTCTTCTCTAATTTAGATATTATAGTTAACATATTGACATTTTTCTTCCAATAAATTTCAAGTTCCTTCTTGCCTACAATACAGGTAAGCAAAATACTTATTTGTAAAAGTTTTACTTTTACTGGCATCCAATATGAGGAGAAATGGTACAAAGCAATCAATTGTCTGAATTTATTTGGCTCAAGTATGATACTGATGAGCAAACACTTGTTGGTCTCAAATCCTGGGGACACTTGTTTGTTTAGCAGCTGAGGAAAAAGAAAGAACTGTTTATGCAACAGTGCCCAGTACACAGGCATAAAAGAGGACAGTGACTGGCGGTGGATGCGGTCGGGGAGGGGATTGTGAGCTGAAGATGCTGTTTGACATGAGATGCCTGATGAAACTCAGGCTGTCTGAAGGCCAGGTGACAATGTAAGTCAGGGAAAGGGCTGTTCCTCTCTCATCTGCCACAGACCACCAGGCAGCTGTGGCGTCCTGGGGGCTCAGGAGCTGCTGTGCCCCCTAGAGGCCATAAGGAGGGCCAGGGCAATAGCGACACAGCCTGGGAGACCCCTTTAACTGGCTCACAGGCAGAAGACAATGAGGTCAGACCAGCAGCTCAGGAGCAGACCTGTTCCTGAGTACATGAGACGCATTGTGTGGGCCTCTCAGAAATTACTGGGAAGACCTTGATGAGAGAACGGAACCAGAATCAGTATGGAGAACACTAACACAACATCAGCCCTCTGAACACTTCCTAGGAAAGTGAGAGGGAACTTCATTTAAACACTCTCCTTTAAATCAAGGTTCCTTATGAACCCCATGAGGACCTTCAAAGTGAGAGGATGAGTTAACACCACCCAGCTATCACTTTTTAAAAATATACTTTTATTGATTTCAGAGAGGAAGGGAGAGGGAGAGAGATAGAAACATCAGTGATGAGAGAGAATCATCAATCAGCTGCCTCCTACACGCCCCACACTGGGGATCGAGCCCACAACCCAGGCATGTGCCCTGACCCCGAAATCCAACCGCAAAGTCCTGCTTCGTAGGTCAATGTTCAACCACTGAGCCACACCAGTGGGGCTATCAATCATTTTTATGAAGGCCACCTTACTCTCATTTTTTCCTTCTGAAAAAAACGCTGCAGATAAGCCCTGAACCTTTCACATCTCGTCCTCTCACATCAACATGCTCAGTGTGGTTCCCTCTGAGGAACACCTGTTGGAACAGAGTGTTGGGGGACCTCAATCCCACTGAAATATTTCAATGATTGTTGCTGAGCTTTGATGAATTAATGTAAATGAAAACGAGATTCTCAAATATTAATAAAGGCTACAAAAATTTAATATCCTTGAGGTTCATATGATTTTCCTCAATTCTTTTAATGCAAAATAACTAAGAAAAGAGGAATATTATTTGAGTGCTTGTTATTCATAATGAGTTTTGCAGTGCTGGGCAAAAGTATCTTAATTTCAAGCAATTAATTCTTATCTGCTCTCTACACTGCAGATACTTTTTAGACAGAAATACTGGAATTTCATTAATAAAAAGCAACAGTATCTTTAAAAGATTTATTTAAAAATGAGAGAAATGTTTTTACTCTATTCTTTCTCAGGTTCTCATTGTTTAATAAAAATCTCAAATTTTAAACTGTTCAATTTCTATTTAACATTTTAATCTGTTTAATGTTCTTATCATTTTATGCTTGATTTTAACATTGAGTTTAATCAAAATCATTCTAAATAATAACTAAAGTTTTTCATTTACACTGATGCTCTATTTGATTATCAACATGATAAATATCTCATTAAAAAATAAAATTTTATAAAAGGCATTTAAAAATCCATTACATAAAAAAGAGTCTCTCTCTGAATTTCTACATTTTTTTTCAACATCAAATTAGACTTTCCAACAGGTATGACAATCTCATGATTTTGAGAAGACCTACCAATTTCAAACTTTGTCCCAGCAACATTGGCTGTGATTGTTCCCTTCTTTTTCTTCTTTCTGACTCTCCTTTTCAGTGTGCTTTGAAAAGGCAGCTCTGTACTCAGATCCAAGGCAGAAGGCCCCTGAATAACTTTAAGAGAAACGTAAACCAACCAAATATCATTGAAATAATAAAAATTCCATACCAGAGAACACAAATGCCCTCCCGAAAAATGTAAAATTTTAAGTTCTGGTTCTTTAAGAATCCCCAATTTTTAATTGTTATGAATAGCCAGCAGTGATGATCTATAATCTGTATTCTGTGATGTGATGAAATCAGTCAGCTTACCTCTTTCTTGAGGCAGAGATGGCATTATTGCCGCGCCAACTAGCAAGCAGTGTGTGCTCTGTACCAAGCTCTCAGGACCTCTGGAAGGCCCGCATTCGTCTAAGTAGGATATGGCTCCAAACCACGGAAAGTGCCTATCATATTATCTTGGTGGAATACTCGGGTTTCAGGGCACTGAAGTTATGGGAAAAGAAGATACCTGCAGGGATTTTAAAACAAAGCCATTTAGAAAACAACTTTTATGACATTTTGTGTCATCTACCAATACTATTTTTAAAATCCAAGTAAAAGTGAAAGTTAATGTACTCAATCAACACGTATTTGTTAATTTATTAAACCTTATGTAAAATGCCAAGTGATGGTTCCCTGTCCTAAAAAATGCAGTCTAGAGGAGGAGGTTTTATTTAAGTCACATATCATATTTACATACAATAAATAACATGCCATACACAGACAATGGCAACAATAACAATATTCACTACCATTTACTGAACATTTACTATCTCAGGCCACTGACACTACTGAATCTTTCAACAGCACTATGAGGTAGAAGCTTTTATCCCCGTCTGTCTGACAGTAAGAAAATTGAGCACAGAAAGGAGAAATCCTTACAAAGAAAGTGACCAAGTGAAGATTAAAACTAACATCTCTCTGATGTCAAAGCTGGTGGGACCCCATGCAACCTTCAACCTAATGCCATAAACTTAACTGCCTTTACAATGAAACAGTGCCAGGCAGCGGTCACATGCTGACAGAATGCAGAGAAAAGCGATTCCTTTGTAAGCGGTGTGTGATGGGGAAGAGAGCAAGTAGACTATAAAATAGACAACATTTGAATTGTGCCTTTAAAAATGAGAGCAATTTTGAAAGGCAGAAAACAGGAGGAGTCATTACTACGATCATCTTATCTGGGCACACAAAGGAATGAAATAACCATTTTTTAATGAAAGAATTCATTTGATTTGGCTACACTTTAACATGACCTATATTATGCTTCACTTATATTTTCATTGTGTATATATGCATCTAGGTATTTATGCCCTTACTATATTATGCTGCCTAATCTATACTATCCACCTTCCAATTTCTCCCTTCATATTGTAAGAATCATGAGTTCTTGTAAAATGTCTCTAAACATAATGAAAATGTATAAAACCTATCATGATAAACAAAGGTATTAATATCTTTATCAGGAGATTCCATGGTTTATTAAAAATTCAGAAATATTCAGAAATTTTCTACATAAAATATGATTTATATACATCACCCCAAATAGTCATTATTCATAAGACTCATTATTAAAGAAAATTTAGAACTTAATTTGTTCTCAGGTATCACTTTTACTAGAATAATTCTCTAGAATAATTCAAATTCAAAACTACAGAAAGATTATTTATTACAGACCAACACTGGGCAGGTACTGTATTAAAAATCTAAAACATTTCATTATAATATATACTCAATAACTTAGGTATTATTTCCCCCAATTTTCCAGATATGGAAACTAAAGCTAAATAAGTTAAATAAATCAAGTAAGAGCTAATAAATAGAAAACCTAGGATTTGGACACAATTCTGATTATCCTATTCACCAATTCACTAAGTCCCACTGTATTCAGACACCATACTAATACGGTCGGTCACATAGAAGTAAAAGAAATTTGCAGCCCTATTGCTGTACATACTACAAATATGGTGTGTTCTGGAACTTCACAATACTTCAAACCAAACAGTGAAATTACAGTAAATATCCCTAACCTGACCTCAGCTCCAAATTCCAAGCTGGAAGTAGGCTAGATTACTTTTCAGAATAAAAGCTAGGAATACTCTAAAGTTCAGATTGATTTACTTCTGGAAGCTCTCTGATACCTCAGGGAGGTAGCTACTTGAGTTTACAAGTTCTTGTCCAACATCTTGTTACTGGAGTAAACAAAGACCTTCTTATGGTAACAGAGTACTTATTACATTGAAAGTAGGTGACAAAGTCAACAAGAGTTTAAGAACAATGTTTGCCTAACTATACTAACAATAAATTAGTATTTGTTGCAGGTTCTAAAAACATATTTGTTCATGTCTGACTTAAATCATGAGCCAAAGGACTTGAATTTGCATAGAGCTCAAAACAAGAACTATTATTCCTTCCCCGTTCACACGGGAATTTAAAGGCCTTAAAAGTATTCTATCCATTCATATGCTTTAATTCCATTTATGGTTTGGTGACTAACAATAAAAGTGCTTTAACAAAGTCAAGAACTTCATTCTACCACCCCAATTCTAATCAGTTCACTGTATTCTAAGTAAGAGATTGAGAAGGCAGATTGATCACACCACTCAGATAAGCCATGGCTACCTACTTTCCCCAGTGGAAAGCATGTTTCAGTTACGTCCGAAATCCTTTAGCCAATGGTTTCTTACACTTGGCTTCAGAGTTGAATCACCTGAGGAGCTTTTAAAAATCCGGTTCCAAGGCCAAACCTCAGATGCAGGTCGAGCCCAGGCATCGGTATTTTCAAAGCTCTCCAAATGATTCCAGTGTGCAGCAGAGGTTGACAACCTCTGCGGTAAGCACATAATGGCACTGAAGCAATAATAGTTCATTATAATATACACAAATGAAATTATTTTTAAAAGCTAAAGAAAACTGTTGTAACTATATTTACAAAAAAAAAAATCAAGCCCAGCCAGATTAGCTCAGTGGTTGAGCATCAAACCATGAACCAAGAGGTCCCTGGCTCAATCACCAGTCAGGGCACATGCCTGGGCTACAGGCTCGATCCCCAGTAGGGGGCATGCAGGAGGCAGCTGATCAATGTCTCTCTCTAATTATTGTTTCTATCTCTCTATCCCTCCTCCTTCATCACTCTCAAAAAAAATCAATAATAGAAAAAGGTCAAATAAGTTGAAATCGCCTATGTAAATCTTCATGTCTAGTTCAACTAAACAAATTGGGGGAAAAATTGGGTGATCAACAGAGATCAACTTCAAGACTAAGAAACAATTTTAGTTTGCAAATAAAGAAACCACTTCCAAAAGGAATCAATTATTCAAAATTTCAGGCAAATGGTAACCTTGACTGTAGAACTTCAAGTGCTACCATGCAAAAAATAGATGCACAAGACTGAAACAACAACAGTAGCAGCAAAAGAATTCCAATCCATTTATCCTGGAATTTTACCCTTCTTCCCAGTTCTTCCCACTAAATTTCTACCCATCACTTAAAATCCAGATAATCTGCTTTTTCCATCATATCTGAAGAAATCCACACCCTGGCGAAAGCTGTGTATGGGCTCTTTGTAAATATTTGGGAAATTCTGTGTACATAGATTACTAAAATAATCTCACAAAAAAGTCAATTGGAAATTGACTAAGTTGAAAATATTTTAAATAATATTAAATAAAAAATGTAATGAAAGCTGTTTCTATGGAGAGGTGGGGGAGGAAAAAAGAGAACTAGTATAAACCAGTACCTACCATGTGCTAAGCATTTTCACATAACTGTGTATTAAGTCCACCCAATAGGTGCCCCACTACATTTTATTCCAGTTTTACAGAAAGGAAAATTTAGACTCCGTGTTTAAGTAACTTGCCCAAGTCACACCGAATAGGTAACAATGAAGTGGTTTGTTTCTAAAGCCCATGTTCCTTCCCACTTTTTGTACTACCTTCAAAATTCAGTCTTTACACACAACATCTGGAAGATTTCACAAAGAAGTTTATCTGCTTGACTGGAGCTATTTTATAAGATACAGAATGAGAGTGAGGAACTAAAACTGTGGTTTAAATGTGGTCAGATCACAACGTTGCCTCAGATTGAATCTCCGCTTGGAACACCTGGCAGATCTGTATCCCGTTTGTTCCTGTTTCTCCTTCACGAAGGTGCTGCATGCAGCTCCACAAACACTATTATGTATCAGGCTCTGTTGTCAGTCAACAAAATGGATAAAAATGTCCTTTCTCTGTTAGCATTTGCATTCCGGTGAGAATAGAGGAAAATAATAATAGTAAAACATATTAAATAAATAAAGAAAATGCTAAGTACTGCAGGGATGGAGGAGTGGAAGAACTAAATAGATCAGGAGTGTTGGAGGAGAGGAAGAGGAAGGTTTTAAATATTGTATACAGATAGGCCTCATGAGGTAATGACTTGTTATCACAAGTACGGTTGATTAAAATATTATGTGATTATGTACACATGGGCATGTAAAAACATGTGAATGTAAACATGTATGATGAGGAGGGGATAGGGAAACATAGTACTTTCTGTGGTACTAAAAAAAGTCTTTAAACCCTCCAACATAGTTATTTTTCCTAAATCCTGGTTTTCTATACACTGTATTTATTTTCTACGTTGATTTTTAAGTTACTGTTTTCACACTGACAAAGGGTAGACCAAACATACTCCACATTGTGTGTATATGCTTGTGTGAGTGTGTCAGTTCTCTGCATGGGAAGAGGAGGCAGGAAGATCTCAACCCCTCTCTCCACCTGTGTCCCAAGACTGACCTTAGATTTGCTCACACTCCTAATGACTCTCTTTCCTTGGTTTGGGGAATCTAGTTCACCACCCCCCCCACACACACACACACACACACTTCCACACTTGCTATCCTATGTATGGCTTTGTCGTTCTCAAAACCCAACAAAAAAATCTGTATTAGTCAATACAGATCACATATTGCTGCAATAATAAACAACCCTCAAATCTTAGGAGCTTAAAACAACTAAGGGCTACTTCTTGATCATCCTATATAACAACCGAACACTAGCAGGGGTGCTCCACATAGTACAGTCGCACAGGAACCCAAGCTGTCAGAGCAGTCATCATCTTAACAATGACCAATCACTGTTCCAGAGGTAAAGAAAAAGTTTTGGAGGACCTCACACAGGCAACTCATGATACTCAAAATTTCTGCTCCTAATTCAATGGCCTGAAGCAGTTACAAATGACCCCAGCCAACAGGAGTTAGAAAGTGCAATCATATAAAAGGACCAATCATATTTTTTTTAAAAAGCCAGTAACACTAACAACCACCACAGACTCCAATCTTGATTACTCCCTATTTGAACCTAGCTGTCCACCCCTAGACACTATTTTCTAGTACTCATGTGCTGTACTCTCCACTGCCTGGAAAAAAATAGCTGAGATTCTATACTGTATCCAGTCCACCCCTTGGCTTTATACAGTGGACTAGAGGCCCGGTGCATGAA